GTTCTGCCCATAAATGGTACCACACCACATTGTATGCCGCAGTTCTCAAACCTGCCAGTGAATGGGTGGTTCTCCTTTCTTCCAGTGAATGGATTGTTCTTCTTTGAGTGTATTGAAGGTTTTTAATATTGTCTATGTTCCCAAGAATATTAAAGCAGGAAATGACAATGTTATGACTATGGTGTTATTATTATTATTATTTTTGCTGGTCCTGGGGTTTGAACTCAGGGCCTGGGTGCTGTCCCTGAGCTTCTTTTTGCTCGAGACTAGTTCTTTACCACTTGAGCTAAACCTTTCGCCTTTCTCTGAATGGTTTTATTGGAGCTAAGAGTCCCATGGACTTTCCTGCCTGGGGTGGCTTAAAACGGCGATCCTCAGATCTCAGTGAGTAGCAAGAATTAGAAGCGTTGAGCCACAGGCGCCCGGCCTGAGTATGATTTTTGTATAATTTTGTTTTGCTGGTCTTTGACGGCTGTCAGTATGCTTTGTGTAGCCGGGCGCTGGTGGCTCACGCCTGTAATCCCAGCTACTCAGGAGGCTGAGATCTGAGGATCGCGGTTCAAAGCCAGCCCGGGCAGGAGAGACCGTGAGACTCTTATCTCCAATAAACCACCAGAAAACCGGAAGTGGCCCTGTAGCTCAAGTGGTAGAGCGCTCGCCTTGAACTGAAGAGCTGAGGGACAGCGCCCAGGCCCAGAGTTCAAGCCCCACGACCGACAAAAAAAAAAAAAAAAAAAAGTATGCTTTGTGTTTATGTCATTGGCCCTTGACTGGGAATGATTTGCCTCTTAGGACATTTGACTGTGTCTAGATGAGGAGAATGCTACTATCCTGGTGGAAGCCAGGGAAGGAGCTAATATCCACAAAGAACACATCTGTAATCCTGGCTACTCAAGGGGCTGAGATACAAGGATCATGGTTCAAAGCCAGCCCAAACAGGAAAGTCCCTAAGATTCATATCTCCAACTAACCAGTAAAAAGCTGAAAGTGGGGCTGGGAACGTGGCTCAGTGGTAGAGTGCTTGCCTTGCCTGATGAGGCCCTGGGTTCGATTCCTCAGCACCACATAAGCAGAAAAAGCCGGAAGTGGCGCTGTGGCTCAAGTGGTAGAGCGCTAGCCTTGAGCTGAAGAGCTGAGGGACAGCGCCCAGGCCCAGAGTTCAGGCCTCACGACTGACAAAAAAAAAAAGCTGAAAGTGGAGCGATGGTTCAAGTGGTAGAGCACTAGTTTGAGCAAAAAAGCTCAGGGACAGTGCCCAGGCCCTGAATTCAAGTCTCCCTCCCACCAACCCCATGGTAGTGTGGTACTGGCACGAGCATGCATGTACATGCGCACACACACACACACACACACACACACACACACACACATGAACACAGAGGCATAGCCATCTCCCCTCCTAATGGAATTATCTGGTCCAAAATACCAACAGGTTGAGAAACTGCTTTACATTTCTTTGTAATGTTGGGATGAGGAAGACTCTTAAATTTATGGTTCCATCTATAAGCATGTATATACATATGTGGATGTACAAAACTAAAGAGAGTTGAGATCTTGCATTTTTACTAATAAGAGTTTGGCCCTTGATTTGCCTTTGTTTTTATTTATTTTTATTTTTTGGCCAGTCCTGGGGCTTGAACTTGGGGCCTGGGCACTGTCCCTGAGCTGCCTTTTTTTTTTCTTTTGGTTATGGGGCTTGAACGCTGGACCTGAGTGTTATCCCTAAGCTCTTCAGCTCAAGGTGAGAGCTCTACCACTTGAGCCACAGTGCTGCTTCCAGCTTTTATCGGCTTATGTGGTGCTGAGGAATCGAACTCAGGGCCTCATGCATGCGAGGCAAGCGCTCTACCACTGAGCCACCTTCCCAGCCCCGTGCTGACTGCTTTTGGAAAGGGAGAGGAGGGAATGCTTTGGCTTCTAGGAACTAGTTCTCTGGCCCCTCCCTACAATGGAGCCATTTGAAAAGCATTAGTTGAGCATTTATGGTGACCTCATCCATAGCAAAGATTCACTGAGAGCTGTCATACAACCTGACCTCACTTCGCTAGCCATGGTTGTTTCTAAAACAGGGTCTTGCTTTTTGCCCAGGCCAACTGGAACTGTAATTGTCCTATTTATTTTTCCCACTATAGTTGGGATGGTAGTCACACACCATGGCACCCAACTATTAGTTGAAATATACCTTGAAAAGTGTGTGTGTATATGTGTGTGTGTATGTGTGTGTGTGTGTGTGTGTGTGTGTGTGTGTGTGTATGTGTGTGTGCCATTAAATTGAGTGCTGTCCATTAGCTTTTTCGTTCCAGGTTAGCACTCTACTACTTGAGCCACAGCTCTACTTTTGGATATTTTTGAGATTTTTATTTTTTGGCCTGGGCCTGGCCTTGAACTCCCATTTTTTGTCCCCTGAGAAACATGAGCCATCAGTTGGGTTAAAATTATGATCTTGTTCTGTGGCTCAGGTTGGCCTCAAACTCCTGTGTTCAATAACCTTGATGCTTCACCCTTCTGAATTGTTGGGACTAAAGGCTTGTGCCATCACACCCAGCTTTCTAGCCAGTGTTGATGTGTAATAGGGGGACAGTGAACCAAAATTTGACCAGTCAGGATTTTTTTTTTGTCAGTTGTGGCACTTGACCTCTGGACTTGGGCGCTATACCTCAGCTCTTCAGCTCAAGGTGAGCACTCTACCACTTGAGCCACAACTCCATTTCCTGTTTTCTAAATGGTTTATTGGAGATAAGAGTCTCACGGACTTTTCTTCCCGGGCTGGCTTTGAACCGTGATCCTCAGATCACAGCATTCTGAGTAGCTAGGATTAAGGTGTGAGCCACCAGCACCCAGCCAGTAAGGATTTTTTTTCTTTTTTTGTTGCTCGTGGGGCTTGAACTCAGGGCTTGGGCACTGTCCCTCAGCTCTTCAGCTCAAGGTGAGCGCTCTACCGCTTAAACCACAGCACCACTTCCAGTTTTCTAGTGGTTTATTGGAGATAAGAGTCTCACAGACTTTCCTGTCAGGGCTGGCTTTGAACCTTGATCCTCAGATCTCAGCCTTCTGAGTAGCTAGGATTACAGGCGTGAGCCACCAGTGCCCAGCTCCAGTGAGGATTTTTTTATGCCTTACAATACTTTGCGTCTTTAGAGCAATTTTCCTGTTCTGCTTGCAGTTAGCTTCTGTTACTTGTTATTTTTTTTTTTTTGGGTCCGGTCATGGGGCCTGAACTCTGGGCCTGGGCGCTGTCCCTCAGCTCTTCAGCTCAAGGCCAGCACTCTACCACTTGAGCCACAGTGGCACTTCCGGCTTTTTTCTTTTTGCTTATGTGGTGCTGAGGAATCGAACCCAGGGCCTCAGGCATGCAAGGAAAGCGCTCTATCACTGAGCCACCTTCCCAGCCCGAGCTTCTGTTGCTTGTAAGCCAAAGGTTTTAACCAACACAACCACTCCTGGGAAGATCACAAAAGTTGTTTCTGGGGAAGACTGCTCTTTTGAAACAAGAGTTTAATGGGTCTTCTGTGTATATGAAGGTGGATTCATTCTGGAATCTAGGCGTTCAGAATAATTAAACTGTAATGACAGTGGTGAAAGGTGTGCTGTGGGCAAGCATGCCTGTGCAGCTCATTAATGCTTGATGGCTTTTCTTTGTTTTCCAGAGGATGGTCTTTATTTTATTTATTTCTTGTGGGGGGTCTTAGGGCTTGAAACTCAGGGCCTGATCACTGTTTTTGAGCTTTTGTGTTTTTTTTTTTTTTTTTGCCAGTTATGGTGCCTGAACTCTGGGCCTGGGCGCTGTTGCTCAGCTTAAGGCTAGTGCTCTACCACTTGAGCCACAGTACCACTTCCAGCTTTTTCTGCTTATGTGGTGCTGAGGAATCAAACCCAGGGCCTCATGCATGCAAAGCAAGGGCTCTACCACTGGAGCCACACCTCCACTTTCTGCGTTTCAGTGATTAATTGCAGATAAGAGTCTTACTTTCTTGGCCAGGCTGGCTTCAAATTGCAATCTTCAGATCTCAGCTTCCTGAGTTGCTATGATTTCAGGTGTGAGCCACTAGTACCTGGCTTGATTTTTTTTTTTTTCTTTTATGTTTGTTGGTCGTGGGGCTTGAACTCTGGGCCTGGGCGCTGTCCCTCAGTTCTTCAGCTCAAGGCTAGCGCTCTACCACTTGTGCCACAACGCTGCTTCCGGATTTCTGGGGGTTTACTGGAGATAAAGAGTCAAATGGACTTTCCTGCCCAGGCTGGCTTTGAACTGTGATCCTCAGATCTCAGCCTCCTGAGTAGCTAGGATGACAGGTGTGAGCCACTGGCACCTCCCCTCCCCCCCCCCCCCCAAGGGATGAGGACTGAACTCAAAGCCTTGCATTATAGGCCAGTACTCTCACTGAGCTAAATCCCCAATCTCTTGCACGATATTTAACAAGCTGCTGCAGTTGGCCTGGTGAGTCCACGGTTCTAATAGTTTCCACCCCCACTCCCCTGGCCTGCAGGCCTGGACCTCGGCAGTCTTCCCGCCCTGGACAATCCTCTGCTGCCCTGCTGGGTGCTCTTCCAAGTCGGGGGGCGGGGGAGGGAGGTGGGGGGGGACGCTGGGTTCCACCCCTAGGCCGTTCCTGGAAATGATCTTTTCATTTTCCATCACTTCAGGGAGCTTTCCCCAGAAGATCGAGGGACCTTGGGTGATCTCAAGACTGTTTAGGACGGGCCGTGTGCATAGGGTCTTGGCCCCGATCCACTCGGTGGGTTGGAACCCACCCTTCCGGAGGTCCGGGTGAAGAACGCCGCCTCCGATTTTCATTGTTTTCAGGTGGTGCCGGCCGGATAAAGTCCTCCAAGGGGAGGGGAGGCGCGCAGGGGCGGGGGGGGGGGGGTGAAAGTCGGCGGCGCGCTAGCCCGTCCAGTTCACCATGCTCCCCCCATACGCCGGCTCTGATTGGCTAGCAGCCGCCGCTCGCACGCGCGACTTCCGGGGCGGGGGCGGGGCTTGGGAGGAGTCAGGCTTCCGGCGCGAGGCGCCTTCGTCGCGGTTTTCGGCCCCGATGGCGGCCCAGGTCGTTCACACGCGGTATCCCGGAGAGGCGGCACCCTCGGCCTCGGCGGCCGCTACTCTGGAGACGACGAGGCCCGGGTGAGATTCGGGTGTCTCGCGTCTGTGTCCCTGGGACCGAGGCCCGGGACCGGGATCGGGGAGCGGCTCTGGAAGGACCTGGGCCCTCTACTGGGTCGGGAGGCGGGCCGGGGCGGAGGTGGTCGCGGGCCCGGGACAGGTCCTGGGCTGGTGGGTGGAAACGGCCAGCTCGAAGCGGCTGTGCTCGGTCCCGGGCCCCCAGCCACCCCTTCCGCCCTCCGGAGGCCCCCCCCCGTCCTTCCCAGCCCCCCCATCCTTCCCAGGTCCCCCCCACCCTTCCCAGGTCCCCCCACTCCCATCCTTCCCAGGTCCCCCCCACTCCCATCCTTCCCAGGCCCCCCCCACTCCCATCCTTCCCAGGTCCCCCTCATCCTTCCCAGCCTCCCCCATCCTTCCCCGGTCCCCCTCCCCCCCTCCCCGTCCTTCCCAGGTTCCCCTCCCCCCCGTCCTTACCAGGTACCCCACCCCCCGTCCTTCCCAGCCCCCCCCCCCCCCCCGTCCCCATCCTTCCCAGGTCCCCCGTCCTCCACCTTGCGCCGGCCCCCATCCACTCCCCCAAACGCCATCCACCTCCCTGGGCCCCCTCACTGCGTTTCTGGACTGTCTTCTCCTTTGCTCTTCCCTCCAGTGTTACGGATGGCAGATCGAATCCTAAATTTTGTTAGAAATTTATCCGACCAAAAATAAGCTGTACACTCAATTCCAAAGTATTTTAAACCGTGTTGTAGCCAGCTTCTAATCTCTACCCCTCTCCTCCATTCAACACTTTTCAATAGAATGCTTTGTGTTCCTGCTGACCTCTGCTTAAAGCAAACACTTAGCATCCCATTCAGAATTACTTATGAATTACATCCTTAACTGTGTCAGATAGGGGGCATTGCCAACAGAGTGTGTGTTTGGGGTGGTGGTGGCAGTAAATAGACCAGTAAATAAGTGAACAAGATAGTTCCACATAGTGATAAATTCAATGAAGAAATATGACAGCTGAAGTGTGGTGGTCCAACCTGGAGTCAGGGATCCAGGGATCACAGTTCAAAGTGGGATAAAGTTTGGGAGAGCCCCTGTCCAAAAATTAAATAGCTAAAAAATAAAGGAATGTTTTAACAATACAGGAAGGCAGCAGGTAAAGGAAAAATGGATTTGTTAGATTTTTTTGGTGGAGAAGCATCTAATGTTGGAGCTTCATTGTGAATGAATGTAACCTTTAGCTTTCTGGGAAGACTGATGTTTGGTAGAATGAGTACTAACTAGCTCATCAAGTTGAAAGAACAGAAAGGACACTATGCTTGCCATAAAACAAGTGGTTGGAGATGAGATCAAAGGTGGGCAGGGGCCAGACTAGCAGAGAATCTTCTAGGATGAATATGGAGTTTGGATTTTTGCTTTTCATTGAGTGAAGGATGAAGCCATCTCTGGGCAAGAATGGAAGCAGGGAGAACTTTTCTCACTGATATGTGTTCTATAAAGGTTCCCTACTATTCTGTCCTGAGTTTAATAGCTTGGTGATCTTGCTTCTGCAGAATTTCAGATATGCTTACATTAGAGAATGACTTCTTCAATTCTCCCCCAAGAAAAACTGTTCGGTTTGGCAGTACTGTGCCAGAAGTCTTGCTGAAATACAAAAAGGTAAGAAGAGATGGCATGAGCATTGGGATTGTTGGCTGGAATACAGAGCTATTCTACCAAAGATAAGTTAGGTGGTGGGAGGTGGGGGTGGTTAGCAATAGAGTGTGCTTTGGCTGTGGGTTCAATCCCCAGTGCTTTAAAAAAAAACCCAAAGCCTCAGTTTATATAATACTGTCTATCAGTATGGAAATCAAGTAATTAGAGATTGTATGGTGCATTTAGTTAAGAAAAGTAATAAAGTATTTGATGTGTTTTTACAACTTCAGATGTCATATTTACTAAGAATCTTTTGTAAACATTAGCAAGTCCTAGAATAAAAAGCTGTTAGGATATTTTATTTTACTTTGTCTTATTTTTTGCCAGTCCTGGGGCTTGAATTCAGGGCTTGGGCACTGTCCCTGAGCTTCTCTTGCTCAAGGCTAGCACTCTACCACTTGAACCATAGCGTCCCTTTGGGCATTTTCTGTTTATGTGGTACCAAGGAATCAAACCCAAGGCTTCATGTGTGCTAGGCAAGAATTCTACCACTAAGTTATATTCTCAGCCCACATTTTGTTTATTTTTTTGTGGGTCCTGGGGCCTAACTCTGGGCCTGGTTACTGTCCCTCAACTCTTCAGCTCAAGACTACTACTTGAGCGACAGCACCACCGCACCTTTTCTGCTTATGTGGTGCTGAGGAATTGAACCCGGGGCCTCCTAATGCAAGGCAAGCACTCTACCACCGAGCCACCTTCCCAGTCTCCCTTTATTTTATTTTTTAAAAATATCTATTTATATTTTTGAGCTAAGATCTTGCTATGTATCCTAGACTGGTCTTGAATTCAATATATTTTTTCTGCAGCCTCTTGAGAACTTGGATTATAGTTGTGTGCCACCATGGCAAAACATTTTTTTCTTAAGGAATTGCCTAAACATTACTTTGAAAGAATAAAGTAGGGATCTTTGTGTTAGCTTTTGGTTCAAGTGATTCTACTAGATCTCAGAGATCTAGTGAAAGAGATGCTATAAATGGTGATGTTTATGTATAATATTTATACATTTGAATTGATACATATTAGTTCTCTTTTTTTCTTTGAGAATTTTTTTTGAGAATTTTCAAGGGTATCAAGAGTAGCCATACCTGTACTCTAACCCTCAGGAGGCCATGGATTGCTTTGGGCTACAATCAGATTCTGTATCTTCAAACAAACAAACCCACACAAAAGAAGAGCATCAATTGTAATACCCAAGTTTCAGTATACAAATATAGCTAAATATGAATGGCTTTTTGGGTACTTGTCATTTTTTTTCCCCCATCTGCTTCTACTCACATGAATTCTGTCAATTGTGTCATGGTTTTATAATGGCAAGGGATATGAGAAAGTGACAAGGTTAATTCCACCAGATGGTGAGGGATGTTGAAAGTCCTGCTGTTGATATTGCACAGGAAACCACAGTAATCATCATTTAACCCTCCCATTCTTCTTGTTCAGGGTGAGACGAATGACTTTGAATTGTTGAAGAACCAACTCTCAGACCCAGACATAAAGGTAGGTTGTAGTTGTGGAGTAGGTTGTTAGTTTGTACTTTGCAGGCTGTTCTGTCTTTCAGAGCTGGATCTTTTGCTCTACCGGGGGCTGTTATACTCCATTGAGGACATTTTATAATGGCTGGAAACTTTGGTTGTGACAAATGGGAATTAGGGGTGTTGGGTTGACAGGGATGATGTAAAATTAGGAAAACTTTTTTCCCCTTCAATATGTAGAAGTTTGAAAAAAAACAAACAAACTGGTGTTTCAACCCAGGGCGTTATGCTTACTGGGCAAAAAATGTTTTACCACTTGAGTCATACCCCTAGTCTCTATTGGCTTTTGGTTTATTTTCTTTTTCTTGCATTTTCTCTAGTTTTTGCTGGGGGCTGGCCTCTGATGAGATCTTCTTATCTCTGTAGCTGAGATTACAGGTGTAGACCTCCACACCCAGCTTTGTTTTGTTTGTTTTGTTGTGGTTTGAGGCTTGAACTCCGAGAGAGCTTTGTACTTTCCCCCCTTCTCCCCCCCCATGGCTAGTATTCTATTTGAGCCACACTTCCAGAGTCCAATGTTTTGCTGGTTAATTGGAGACTGTTTCCAGGACTTCTGTCTGGGCTGGCTTTGAACTGTGATCCTCTAGGTCTTAAACTCTTGAGTAGCTAGGATTATAGACACAAGCTATTAAGTCCCCACCCAGACTTGTTTCTCATCTACCTCTGACGTAGATGTGTCTGCCTAGAATTATTACAGTTGCTCTAGACGAGCAAGTCAGACTCATTATCTCCCTCCCAAGTCCCTGCCGCTGTAAGTTCAACTGTGTGTGGCTCTCCCAGGTCCTGAGCTGGGAGCCTTGGACTTTTCTGGACTTCCACCTTCACTCACTGAACCTTAGGGAAAAAGATGTTGGATCCCTCCCCACTTTGTTAGTGCACCTTAACAGTGTATGATCCTGCCGCCCCACCCCCATCCTCTCCAGAGGAACCTGACTCATATGACTCCAAGAGGGCATGTCTGGGCATGTCACTTTCTTTTCAGAAAAGCTTCACATCTCACTGCACGCCCTGTTCCCTAAATTTGTCACTCTTTACCTTATATCTTCCCGTGCAACTAGAGCAGATCCTCTGTCCACTGTGTTTGAGCCTGGGCTCTGGCTCCACTGCTTCTCTCCCTTACTGGCTATGTGACCCAGAGTCAGTTTTGTACTGCAGTACAATGGAGTCACTACCTGCATCATGGGGTGGTGGTCAGGAATGACTGAATTGATTACATGGCTTGGTTTGGGTGTTGTGTTGGTGGTTACTTCTGCTACTGGCATTGCTACTGTAATCTTCAGAATTCTTCACTCATTCAGACCCAGGTCTGAATGGTCAACTTATTAATTTTTTTTTTTTTTGGTAGTGGTGGGGCTTGAACTCAGAGCTTAGGCACTGTCTCTGAGCTTCTTTTGCTCAAGGCTAGCATTCTACCACTTGAGCCACAGTGCCACTACCAACTTTTTCTATTATTAATTTTTTTTTTTTTTGGGTCCGGTCGTGGGGCCTGAACTCTGGGCCTGGGCGCTGTCCCTCAGCTTTTCAGCTCAAGGCTAGCGCTCTACCACTTGAGCCACAGCGCCACTTCTGGCTTTTTTCTTTTTGCTTATGTGGTGCTAAGGAATCGAGCCCAGGGCCTCATGCATTCAAGGCAAGTGCTCTACCACTGAACTACCTTCCCAGCCCTATTATTATTATTTTTTTTTGTCGGTCGTGGGGCTTGAACTCTGGGCCTGGGCGCTGTTCCTCAGCTCTTCAGCTCAAGGCTAGCGCCCTACCACTTGAGCCACAGCGCCACTTTCGGTTATGTGGTGCTGAGGAATTGAACCCAGGGCCTCATGCATGCAAGGCAAGCACTGTACCGCTGAGCCACCTTCCCAGCCAGAGAATTTGTGATTTTGATAGCACTTTTCTTTGTTTAACTTGAGGATGAACAGATCATCAGCTGGCTGCTGGAGCTCCGCTCTTCCATCATGTACCTGACCAAAGACTTCGAACACCTGATTAGTATTGTGTTGGTGAGTTCGTTTAGTTAATATCACGGGCTAGTAAGTGCTTCTTGTTTTTGAAACTGTATATTTATCACTGTCTTCTCCCTTGTCTAGAAATTGCCTTGGTTGAATAGAAGTCAGGCAGTGGTGGAGGAGTACTTGGCTTTTCTCGGGAATCTTGTGTCTGCCCAGACCGTCTTCCTCAGGCCCTGTCTTGGCATGCTGGCTTCCCACTTTGTACCTCGTGAGTAGTTGTGCTCTGCTTATCAAAGCCAGCTCCTTCCTCCCTCCTTCCCCTTGTCCCATCCCTTTCCCCTGCCCTTCCTTATTAGAAAGAAAAGAGGTTCACAATTAATTTAAACTAATTAATTTAAATTAATTAATTTGGTTCTGCCTGAATGGCAGAGTCCTCTGTGACACAGGACACCAAGGCAAGGGGTAGAAAGTGTGTGTTATGTGTTACTTACTGCATGTGATTTTTTTTTTTTTTTTGGGCCAGTCCTAGGGCTTGAACTCAGGGCCTGGGCACTGTTCCTGAGCTTCTTTTGCTCAAGGCTAGCACTCTACCACTTGGAGCCACAGTGCCACTTCCAGCTTTTTCTGTGTATGTGGTGCTAAGGAATCGAACCCAGGGCTTCATACATGCTAGGCAAAGCACTCTACCCCTAGGCCATCTTTATTAAAGCACACTGGGGCTTTTGCCACCATGGATGTGCATGCTGGTATTCTGGAGGTACATGTCTCCTGTAGGGATGTCTAGGTCCAGCCTTGGTTTTGACAGGTTGTCCCTTGTTTTAATGAACCTCTGACAAAGTCTTAGAATTTATCTGAGATTTTGTAGCTATGTAAGCATTCTCTGGTTGCTGTACTTTCTCAAACGGTGAATCTATCATCATACTTGGCTTGGACTATGGGAAAAAACAGCTTTCCTGTATAGGCATCATTCTGTAGGTCCATGACAGATGAGTGACATGTGCTTCTTTTCCCTCAAAAGCGCGAGTGATCGTTAAGGAAGGTGACCTAGATGTTTCGGATTCCGATGATGAAGATGATAGTAAGTATAAGAGGGTTTTAAAGCAAAGCACACCCCTGGATTGTGGAGAACGTGATGGATGACTACAAAACATTGTGGGATCTGTTCCAACAAGTAGATGGCAACACATGTTCTCATGTAATTACTCCAGTTAATCTTGATGGCTGTAGAGAGGAATCTTGAAATTCTCATTTCTCTGATAGATTCCTCACTCTTGCTTTTAACTAATGATTTCAGCTTCAGGTTCTTGATTTTTCAGCTCTTAGTTTTGACGGTCACATGCCCAACTTTTCTCCTTATAGATCTTCCTGCGATTTTTGACACATGTCACCGAGCCCTGCAAATAATAGCAAGATATGTCCCATCGTGAGTATGCTTTTGTTACTTTGAATCTTAACATTTGATTCTGAAGAAACTAAATGGGCTGGTATATATCTATAGCTGTGTGCGTGTATATACGTGTACACATATATGTATGTATATATATGTATGCGTATACATATATACACACACACACGTCAGCAGTGGCGTGCTTGACTGGCTTGTGTGTGTCTGGGTTCTATCCTCAGCACCACAAAAGAGGAAAGGAAAGAAAATTGTAATCAGGGGAAAGCCATAAAATACAAGCGGCATCCGTATGGGCTATGTGTCATGATGCTGGCTGCATCATGTTGATGACGTCACTTTTTATTGAAAATAGTGCTTCTGTTTTGTTCACGTTCTTTAACCATTTTGAAAAACTTACATACCAGTTCTCCCGCAAATTTCCTGTGGTATTTGGAATTTTGCTTTTATCTTCAACAGATATGGTATCGAAATATTTTCACTGAGAAATCCCGATGTGTATTTGTGTCATGCCATATGAATAAGAAAACCTTTGCAGGTTTGTGGGTTTCTTTTTGGAGGGTAGATTTCTAGGTTGATTTTTTTTTTTGTTAACAAAGAATCCAAGTTGGTGTTCTTTTTGCTTTTTTTTAAAAAAGTAATATGTGTGGTGGGAAATGTTTAGACTTAAACTGAAACCCTTTTAAACTTTTATTTTTTGTTGGTCATGGAGCTTGAACACAGGGTCTGGGCTCTGTCCCTTAGCTCTTTTGCTCAAGGCTCCCACTTGATTATTTTGAGTTGCAGAACCACTTCCGGTTTTCTGGTGGTTAATTGAAAATAAGAGTCTCATGGACTTTCCTGCCTGGGCTGGCTTTGAACCATGATCCTCAGCTCTCAACCTCCTGAGTAGCTAAAATTCCAGGTGTGAGCTACCAGTGCCTGGCTTCTTTTAAACTTTTTTTTTTTTTTTTTTTTGTCGGTCGTGGGGGTTTGAACTCTGGGCCTGGGCGCTGTCCCTCAGCTCTTCAGCTCAAGGCGAGTGCTCTACCACTTGAGCTACAGCGCCACTTCCGGTTTTCTGGTGGTTTATTGGAGATAGGAGTCTCACGGTCTCTCCTGCCCGGGCTGGCTTTGAACCGCGATCCTCAGATCTCAGCCTCCTGAGTAGCTAGGATTACAGGCGTGAGCCACCAGCGCCTGGCTTCTTTTAAACTTTTAAAGGAGGAAGCTCCTCTTTTAAGTTGCTGTTAATATGAAGTTAAACCATTTTTTTCACCTTAGTTTTTAATTTAAAATTTTTTATTAGCATCTATTGTACACCATGGCCATTTTCTATTACTGTTTTTCATTAATAGATTTTTCTGTGGAACTATACATTTCTTTTTGTTTTGGAAGTGTAGGGGTTCTTGCCTGCCTCCCATCTGTCTGTGCTCTGGAATTGGGGAATGTGAATTTTCTTAGCAAGTGTAGTTTACATGCATTGTTTTGTTTTAATAGGACACCATGGTTTCTTATGCCAATACTTGTGGAAAAGTTTCCATTTGTTAGAAAATCTGAGAGAATACTGGTAAGAACTCTTTTTCACGAAGATAATGGGAATATTGTTTCACGTGATTGTCTTTTAAGTTATGCTAGTTTTTCTTAAAAGTTTTTTTTTAGATTTTAAATTTGAGACTTAAGATTTTGATTCTGGGCTTGGGAAGGTGGCTCAGTGGTAGAGTGCTTGCCTCGCATGCATGAAGCTCTGGCTTCGGTTCCTTAGCACCACATAAGCAGAAAAAGCCAGATGTGGCGCTACGGCTCAAGTGGTAGAGCTCTAGCCTTGAGCTGCAGAGCCCAGGGACAGCGCCCAGGCCCAGAGTTCAGGCCCATGACTGACAAAAAAAAAAAAGGAGTTTGATTCTGATTCCTTTCTTAGTGAGTACTGGGAATCCTCCATACCTTTTTCTTACTTGCAAGAAGTTAAGAGTCCATTTCAGAGGCATCGTTAGAGGCCTAATGTTGACACATGATAATCACTGGATAATAGCAGATCATATGTTCCTAATTGTAGGCATGCCTTGCCTGAGCAGAGAAAGCGGAACTTTTAGAGGCATGCAAATGGGGCTTGAATGCAGGACCTCATGCTTTCTCTTGGCTTTTTTTTTTTTTTTTTTGCTAAAGGCTAGTGTCTACCCCTTGAGCCATGCTTCCTCGTTCTGGCTTTTTTGCAGGTTAATTGAAGATACAAGTCCCTTGGATTTATCTGCCTGGGCTGGCTTGAAACTGTGATCTTTAGATCTCAGCTTTTGGTGTAGCTAGAATTACAGGTGTAAACCACCAGTCCCCAGCTTCTGTGATATTTACATCATCTGTGTGCTCCTCATGAATTCCTAGTGTCTATATCACTTTGTGTTTCCCCCCATAAGTGGTTAGAGGCACTAAGGAGGAGTTACTAACTTTTGCTCTTGTTTGTCCCACTGTGCTTCCCATGGACGGTTAAACCACTGCATCGCTAGGAAAATAGATGTCAGGCTGAGGGAGGAAGATCACTCATTTGAGGCTAGCCTAGTATATATACTGAGACCCTGTCTCAAAAAGAAGGAAAGGATACAGATACAGAAATTCTGAACGAATATAAGAAAAGCAAGGCTAACAATATTTGAGAAGTTATGCACTGTGTGCAGTTAGATGGGCAAAGGCTCCCGCAGGAAATGGGTGCATCAGCCCTGCCGCACCTGCTAGCCTGGCTCTGACAGTAACGCCAAGTGTTGATTTTTGTCTGTGTTATATACTTCAGGAATGTTACGTCCATAATTTACTAAGGATCAGTGTGTATTTTCCTACCCTGAGGCATGACATTCTGGAACTTGTTATTGAGAAGCTCCTCAAGTTGGATGTAAGTACTGGACAAACTTTTTCCTTCTGGTTTGCATTTATGGAATGATTGTGTTTGAGGTGCCATTGCTCCCTCCTCATCTCCTGGTCCTGCGTGTGGGTGTGCTGGGGCTGCAGCAGTCCTCTGGCTGGGCGCGGGCCTCCCCTTAGTCCCACGGAGGTCGAGTACTGTTGCTGAAGCTGCTGTGATTGGGATGAACTAGAGGCAGGGGTACTGGTGCTGTTAGGGTGCTGGCACTGTCGGGTGGCAGTCAGGATGGCATTAAGGAGAAGTGAAAATGACCTCTGATCATGCCTTTCTGCTAGGTGATGGGCGAGATGCTTATGGACTGTGTATGTGAGGGCCTTGTGCAGAAAGAGGGAATGGATGTTTGAGTAGTTCGTGTTGATTTCATATGCATACACAAGTTTGGAGTAAAGGGACTTGGATTTTAGTATTTAGTTCCTTCCTTCCTGACCCAGACCACTGGGAAGGTTCACCCCATCATGGTGGCGATGCCCACTGTGCTCATTGCTGTTCCCTTTGCTTCCCTGGCACAGGTCAGTGTGTCCTGGCAGGACATCGAGGATGCTGAAGAGGCTGCGGCCCACGCTCGGGTTGGGACGGACGTGGCCGAAGGACTGTTCAACATGGTCAGCTTTATTTTATTTTATTTTATTTTTTTGGGGGGGGGGGGGGTCCGGTCGTGGGGCCTGAACTCTGGGCCTGGGCACTGTCCCTCAGCTCTTCAGCTCAAGGCTAGCGCTCTACAACTTGAACCACAGCGCCACTTCCGGCTTTTTTCTTTATGCTTATGTGGTGCTGAGGAATCGAACCCAGGGCCTCAGGCATGCAGGGCAAGCGCTCTACCACTGAGCCACCTTCCCAGCACATACATGGGCAGCATTTTTAACGGCCAGTGGCCTATCCTCCTTTCCAAAGAGTCAAAAGTGTTCACTAGCCGGGCGCTGGTGGCTCACGCCTGTAATCCTAGCTACTCAGGAGGCTGAGATCTGAGGATCACGGTTCAAAGCCAGCCCGGGCAGGAGAGACTGTGAGACTCCTATCTCCAATAAACCACCAGAAAGCTGGAAGTGGCGCTGTAGCTCAAGTGGTAGAGCGCTCGCCTTGAGCTGAAGAGCTGAGGAACAGAGCCCAGGCCCAGAGTTCAAGCCCCACGACCAACAACAAAAAAAAAAAAGTGTTCACTAAACCTGAGAGTGCTTTCTGACCTGAGGAGGTGGCTGGGTGTCTTCCATGTTTACTAACCTTGCAACTATTTACTTCATTTTTTATTGAAACCTTGGGGGTTGAACCTGGGGCATGCTCTACCACTGAGCTTCCTATCCAGCTGTGGCATGCGTGCATGCGTGCCTGCGTATGTGTGTGTGTGTGTGTCTGTCTCCTGGGGCTTGAACTCTGGGTTGGGTGTTGTCTCTCAGCTCTTCAGCTCAAAGATAGCACTCTACCATTTTAGCCATTTCTGGTGATTTATTGGAGATAAGAGTCTCCACAATTTTCCTGCCCAGTCTGGCTTTGAGATGTGATCTTCAGATGTCAGCCTCCTGAGTAGCTAGGATTACAGGCATGAGCCACTGGTGCCTGGCTGCTTAAAAAACAAAACAAAACATTGTTAGTAAAAGTGATGTACAAAGGAGTTACAGTTCTTTCTAAAAGTCAGGTAAAGAGTACATTCACGGGCTAAGAATGTGGCTTAGTGGTAGAGTGCTTGCCTAGCATGTATGAAGCCCTGGGTTTGATTCCTCAGTACCACATACACCCACATACACAGAAAAAGCTGGAAGTGGCACTGTGGCTCAAGTGGTAGAGTGCTAGCCTTGAGCAAAAGAAGCTCAGGGACAGTGCCCAGGCCCTGAGTTCAAGCCCCAGGACTGGCAAAAAAAAAAAAAGAGTACATTTGCTTTTGGAAAATGTCACCCCTTCCTGTTTTCTCCCAGCCAGCTGTGGCTTTTAATTTGTGTTGATGGTACTGGGCTGTGAACTTTAGCCTGTGAGTTACTAGAAAAGTGCTCTACTTCTCGAGCCATACCTCCACTTGAGTGTTTTTGTTGGTTGGTTGGAGATAAAAGTCTTGGATTAGTCTGCTCAGGCTGGTTTCAAACTTCAGTTCCCAGATCTCCGCCTCCCGAGTAGCTAGGGTTATAAGAAGGAGCTCCTGCTGCCAGGTTCATCAAGCTTTGTATTGACAGCTTTTCCTCCTTCAAAGGATGAAGATGAAGAAACAGAGCATCAAGCAAAGGCTGACCCAGAGCTGCGAGTTCAGATGGCCCATCCTGTAGCTGAGCGCCTGGACATCCTGCTGGCTTTGCTTTTGTCCTACATCAAGGATGTCTGCTATGTGGATGGTAACCTATGGCATTGCCACTCAACACTCTGGGTATTCCCCACGCATTCCTTCTGGCATAAATCTGAACTCTCAACCTGGAGAAAGCTTTAGAGAGGTCTGCTATCTGCCACAGTCACACAGCTTCAGAAGAACAGACCTGAGATTCAGGCTCAGTTACATGGTGCTTCCAAGCCCTTGGTCTTTGCCTGTTGTGTTCAGAGCTAGTAGTGGTGCTTGGCAAGCTCTATGCAGAGCTGAAATTAGACTTGAATTGCTTGAGATGTTTAGACTGCTCTAGCCAGCACCAATGCGTAGTGGTTACCTGGCTGAGTGAGTTAGAGTTAGAAGTGGAAGGCCTTGCAGCAGGTCAGAACTGTTCCGAGCAAATCTGCAGGTGAAGACTTGACATTTTCCTAAGATTTAAGGATGAACTTCATTTATATGAAACATAAATGAAAAAATACGTTTTTGAAGTGCTGGCAGTCAGACAAACCCTGGGCCCCCAGATGCCAGGCACCAATCCTAATGACTGAGTTGTAGCACTAGCCCCACATACATTTTCTATGAATTTGAGAGGTCTAGTGAAAATTAAGTAAATTGTGAATATGTTCTTTTATTCTGCCGTACTGGGGATTGAGCCCAGGGTCTTGTGTGTGCTAGGCAGCATTCTACCTTGAGCTATGCCCTCAGCCCAATTAAAAACATATTTTATGCCATTCACTGTTTTAAAATTGTTTTTTTGGCCAGTGGATTTATCTGGTATTTTTTTCATTATTAACAGCATAACAAACCTCACACGTGTATCTTCAGTTATTTGCTTATGATAAATTCCTGGCAAGGATTGTGCTCAAGTTATATATCTGACTCCACCTGTAATCCTAGCTAGTCAGGAGGCTGAGAACTAGAAGATCAAGGTTTGAAGCCAGCATTGGCAGAAAAGTCCAAGAGACTCCACCTCTAATCATCAAAACACTGCACTGGAGATATGGCTCAAGTGGTTTCTTATTTTTTTATTTTTTTTGGGTCCGGTCGTGGGGCCTGAACTTTGGGCCTGGGCGCTGTCCCTCAGCTCTTCAGCTCAAGGCTAGCGCTCTACCACTTGAGCCACAGCGCCACTTCCGGCTTTTTTCTTTTTGCTTATGTGGGGCTGAGGAATGGAACCCAGGGCCTCAGGCATGCAAGGCAAGCGCTCTACCACTGAGCCACCTTCCCAGCCCCCAAGTGGTTTCTTGCTTTGAGCAAGAAAGCCAAGAGAAAGTCAGGCCTTGAGTACAAGCCCTACCCACTACCAGCAGTTTTTTTTTTAAGTAGGGGAGAGGCTATAGTCCATTATAAAGTTTCCGTTGAGAAAGGTTTTTGATTTTTTTTGATTTTTTTTTTTTTGGTCATGGGGCTTGAACTCTGGGCTTGGGCGCTGTCCCTGCGCTCTTCAGCTCAAGGCCAGTGGCCTACCACTTGAGCCACAGCGCCACTTCCTAGAAAGGTTTTTATTGCTGGGTGCCCATGGCTCATACTTGTAACCCTAGCTACTTAGGAGGCTGAGACCTGAGGATCACAGTTTAAAGCCAGTCCAGGCAGAAAAGTCCCTGTGAGACTCTGTTCTCCAGTTATCCACTTAAAAACTGGGACTGAAGCTATGGCTCAGTTGTAGAGCACTAGCTTTGAGCAAAAGAGCTCAGAAACAGCACCTAGACCCTGAATCCAAGCCCTAGGACTGACGAAAAGAAAGGAAAATCTGCAATCTAGCATTTTGTTTTAATCTTAGGTTACTGCATAATGCTAGATATTTGTGTGTTTGTAGTAATGGGTGTTGAACTCCAGGTTTCAGACTTCTAGGCTGGTGCTCTACTACTTGAAGCATGTCTCTAGTCTGCTGTTTTTGTTGGTTATTTTGGAAATGTTGTCTAATGAGTTTTTCTTCTCATTCTGCTCTCGAACCTAGATCTTGCAGATCTTAGCCTCCTAAGTAGCTAGGGTTTTGGGTGTGAGTCACCTGTACCAAGCTGTGTTGTTGATTTTAGTGAGGGGTTAGGGCCTCACTGCAATTAGGGTTGACCCCCAAACCTTGAATCCTCACACTTCAGTCTCCTGAGTGCTGAGATCCAGGCAAGTGCCACTTTGCTTTCATTGCCATGTTTAACATTGTTCTGCTTTGGGCAAATAACACTGATAGCTTGAAACTTTATACAACTGAGATGGTGAATTTTCTCTGTAGGTAAGGTTGATAACAACAAAACCAAGGAATTGTATCGTGATCTTATCTCCATCTTTGACAAGCTGCTGTTGCCCACCCATGCCTCCTGCCATGTCCAGTTTTTCATGTTTTACCTCTGCAGCTTCAAATTGGTAAGTAAAATGTCACTGTCAGTATCTTACTGTGTTTCTGTTTTGTTTTGTTTCGTTTTTCATTCTGCTTTTCTTAGTGGTAATGGCTTTAGAACTCAAAGCCTCATGCTGCTTCTAGGCAGACTCTACCACAGGAGCCGCACTCCTTTTGGCTTATATTATTTTGAACAGTGTCACACTTTTTACCCATGAGCTCTTTTTTTTTTTTTGTCGATTGTGGAACTTGAACATGGTGTGGGCGCTGTCCCTCAGCTCTGAACCCAAGGCAAGCACTCTATTGCTTGAGCCACAGTGTCACTTCTGGTTTTCTGGTGGTTAGTTAGAGATCAGTCTCACAGACTTTCCTGCCTGGGCTGGCTTTGAACCAAGATCCTCACATCTCAGCCTCCTGAGTAGCTAGGATTACAGGCGTGAGCCACTGGTGCCTGACCTACCCATGAACTCATTTATGCTCCTGTGTAACTGAGGTGACCCACATGGACCACCTTCTCTAGCTTTTTATTGGTTGAAGTCTCTTGACACTTTGCCTCTGCTGTTCTCAGACCATTATTCCCCTATATACCCACCTCCCCAGTAGCCAGGGTAGCTCCACCATGTCTGGCTTTGGTATTATTCTTGTCTGAAATTTTTTCTGGAGTTGAAAACTGGTGGAGTGAGACTCAGAGGTGTTTCTTTTCCTCGAGCTCATTTTATTGGTATCCCTAGTAAAATTCAGTTTTCATCTGGTCTGATGGGTGTTCTGCAGATGTCGTTCTGTCTTTGCTCTCTTTTTGGTACCCTTCACTTTTTTAGTTCAGTCTTTTCTATTAAAATCTCCTATGGAATATTTCACTGTTTATTTTCTTTATTCTTTCTGTATTGAAAGAATAGTCATACTTCAGAATTTTGAAACCTTGGGATTGGACTTTTTTTGGGGGGAAAAAAAACCAACAAGAAGGATCTGACTTATTTTTTGGGGAAAAAGTGCCAGCACAGGAGATTCTTTCCTCTTCTTTGCAGATGTTGTGTCCTTGTTAGAATAGTCAACAGAGAGTACCAGGAGAAGGTTGACCTCATCTGCCTGAACCCGAGTGTTCCAGCTTTTCAGCAGAGCCCTTTGCCCAAAAGCTCAGTGATTTTCCATGAACAGCATTTGTTCTTTACTCCATACTTAATGAGCCTGGCTAGGTGTAGCACGTGCAGGGACAGTGAGAGCCCCTGGGGACTCCAAGAAGTGTAGGTGATTCCTGCTTTCAAGGCGATGCAGAGCCTGAGCCACCTGAAGCACTGCTACCATGCACACTCCAGCTACGTCTCACACCTGCTCAGTCTCTGACATCCCCTTCTCTCCCCTCTACTTAGGATCTCAGAGCTCTGCACGTGCTAGGCAGCCACTCTTCCACCGGAGCCATCCCTCAAGTCTTTCTTGCTTTATTTTTTTTGCTAAGGTATTACGTGTTTGTCTGAGGCCATCCTTGACCATGATCTTCCTCTTGATGCATACCATGTAACTGGCATGACAGATGCGCCACTATGCTCGGCTTATTGGTTGAGATAGGTTACACTGTTGAGTTGGCCTTAGATTTCTGAGATCCTTCTGATCTCTGCCTCCTGACATGCTTGATTTTTGTTGTTGTAGTTGTTACTGCTGTTTGCTTTGTTCTTGAGATGGGTTCTTATAATGTTGCCTCATTTGTTCCTGAAATGCTGGGCTCAAGCAAGCCTTCCTGCATCAGCTTCCCTAGTAAGCAGTTAAGCTACAGGCACACATCGCTGAGCTGATTGCGCAGCTTTGATGCTGATGCTGAACTGGATCTGGAACCCACTGATTATTCAACACCCAGAACACCTTCAGTTTTCAGTAGTAGTATCTCCTGACCACTGCACAGTATAATTGAGATGCTAGGGCTTTTACTCTGTTGGTGCTTCTAATAGCTTACAAAATAAAAGATCGTGCTGGGCTGGGAAGGTGGCTTAGTGGTAGAGTGCTTGCCTCACATGCATGAAGCCCTGAGTTCAATTCCTCAGTACCACATACACAGAAAAAACTGGGAGTGGCACTGTGGCTGAAGGGGTAGAGTGCTAGCCTTGAGCAAAAGAAGCTCAGGGACAGTGCCCAGGCCCTGAGTTCAAGCCCCAGGACTGGCAAAAGAAACCAAAAACCTTTTTTTGATAGGGATTTGCAGAGGCATTTTTGGAACATCTCTGGAAAAAATTACAGGATCCAAATAATCCTGCTATCATCCGGCAAGCTGCTGGGAATTACATCGGGAGCTTTCTGGCAAGAGCGAGATTTGTTCCTCTTATGTAAGTAACCTGATTTTCCATGTTCTTAACATGCAAGCATTATCAGAGAAATATTGTTTCCCTTTTGGTCTATCTGTAAAGTGAAAATAAACCTATTCCTGCTTCTATGAAAGGTGTTGCTAAGCGTTGATTTCAGGCTGAGAATGTGGCTTAGGGGTAGAGTGCTTGCCTAGCATGTATCAAGCCCTGGGCTCAGTTCTTCAGTACCACATACACAGAAAAAGCCAGAAGTGGCACTGTGGCTCAAGTGGTAGAGTGCTAGCCTTGAACAAAAGAAGCTCAAGGACAGTGCCCAGGCCTTGAGTTCAAGCCCCAGGACTGGCAAAAAAAAAGTTGATTTCCAAGAACAGAATCTCTTGTTTGGGCCATTAGACCTCCTCCCATGTGAGGCCTTTGTCATCTGTCACAGGGAGAGGCATGGTGTCTTGGTGGTAGCACAGTGTTATGTGCTATTTTGATTCTTCTTGTAAGTTTATCAGTATGCACTTGAATTCTGAATCAGTTATGTGTTGGGAAAGAAAATTCTCTCAAAGGTAGTCCAAGACAGCTGGGATGTTGCTCAGTGCTCAGAGGTAGATAGATCCTATTCTCCGCATGCATGAAATCCTAGCTTGATTACCCAGCACTAAAAGAAAGGTGGCTAATAGAGAGGCCCGTTTAGGAGGCCATTTCCTTCCAGTGATGATCTGTGAAGATATTTCAATGGACAAAGATGCTGTTAGAAAACAAAAACAGGAAGTGGCGCTGTGGCTCAAGCGGTAGAGTGCTTGCCTTGAGCTGAAGAGCACAGGGACAGTGCCCAAGCCCAGAGGTCAAGCCCCACAGCCGACCAAAAAAAAAAAAAATTTATCAAGCCGGGCACCGGTGGCTCACGCCTGTAATCCTAGCTACTCAGGAGACTGAGATCTGAGGATCGCAGTTCAAAGCCAGCCCGGGCAGGAAAGACCGGGAGACTCCTACTCCAATAAACCACTAGAAAACCGGAAGTGGCGCTGTACCTCAAGTGGTAGAGTGCTTGCCTTGAGCTGAAGGGCTGAGGGACAGCGCCCAGGCCCAGAGTTCAAGCCCCACGACCGACCAAAAAAAGAAAGAAGAAAACAAAAACAAAAAAATGCCAGGTGTTGGTGACTCACACTTATAATCTTAACTACTTAGGAGACTGGAGATCTGGGGATTGTGGATTGAGGCCAGCCTGGCAGGAAATTCTGGGAGACTCTTTGTAGTTAACCTAAAAAAGTTGGAAGTGGAGCTGTAGCTCAATGGCAGGACACACTCAGGTACAGCGCCAATGCCCTGAGTTCAAGCTCCAGGACTGGCCAAAAACAACAAAAACCTTTCCTAACAACTAAAAGTCTTCTGGCTTGAATTGTTGACCATCGGAGTTCATCACAATCCCTGGGAAGCAGGGATACTGAGCTGGCCACCTTCCTCTTGTCAGATGTTGGTAAATGAGCTTTGCTTTTTGTCCATAGTGCTAAGGGACCAAGCTCTACCCAAGAACCCTTCTGAGTTGATTAGGAGGAACTGGCCTCTCTCCCTTGGGATGTTCTAGGAGCCTCCTGTAAGCACTGTCTTCCTACAGGCTCCGCCCCTTTCCATCTTCTTCTCCACCTGCACTTTGGTGCTGGAGAGTGAGCACACTAGGCAGGCTTACCACTGAACGACAGCCCCACCTGCAGAGGCACTGAAGGAGGCCCCTGGAGTTCTCCTAAAAAGTTAAAGGCAACCCACGGGGTATGTGTGTGGTAGCTTGGTTACAAAGCGAGGCAGCTGACGTGAGTGTGTCTTCTCTCCAGCACCGTGAAGTCATGCCTGGATCTTCTGGTTAACTGGCTGCACACGTACCTTAATAACCAAGATTCGGGAACAAAGGCTTTTTGTGACGTCTCTCTCCACGGTCCATTTTACTCAGCCTGCCAAGCTGTGTTCTACATGTTTGTTTTTCGACACCAGCAGCTTTTAAGTGGAAACCTGAAGGAAGGTTGGTGCTCTGGGCCTTGGTCTGGGTTTTCTCTCTTGGACCTGTGGGTGCGCCCTTCCTTCGGCCTGGGGAAGGCCATTCCCTGCTTCACTGAGACAAGGCCCCGCCAAGGCCTGTGCTGCAGCAGCCGGGAGCTGCAGCTCAAGTCCTGCGTAGTTTGTTAGTTGTTTCTTCTAAACCAAGCTTCTCCACCTTCCTCTATTAGTATTTTGCCCTGACTAGTTGCTGTGTGTGTGTGTGTGTGTGTGTGTGTGTGTGTGTGTGTGTGTGTGTGTGTGTGTGTGTGTGTGTGTGTGTGTGTGTGTGTGTTAGGACTGGCACAAATACCTCTCCTCCCCACACCTGAAAAACAAAAAAAAGGGGGAAGAGGGAGGGAGAGAGAAGTCCAGGCGTAGTTGAGCCCTTCGCGTTGCCGTGCGGCCGCTGTTTGTCTGCTGTGGCCATGGCTGTGATAAAGGCAGCCTCAGCCTGTGCTGAGCATGCGTACCGTGAGCCCAAAGCCACATGGCGTCCCAGCCCCCCAGGGCAGCCAGGTAGGGTGGTGCATGCCTGCGGTCATCCCAGCCTGTGGAGGCTGGGGGAGGAGGATGGAGGTAAAGCCCATTGGGGTGAGGCCACCTCAACAAGGAGAAGCAGTTTTCTCTCCTCAGCACAGCTGCCTTAGCTTGGGCAGGCCCGTGAGCCTGGGGAACAGCTGCGTGGAGCTTTATTAAGGAATTTCTGCGCACACACGTTTGAAAATGACTTTCTCCTGTGGTGTTGGTTTATTAGCTCATGCTAAGTACTTGTGCTAAGTACTGAGCCCTGAAGCTTTTTTTTTTTTTCTTCTCCAAAGGTTTGAGGTATCTTCAGGGCCTGAATTTTGAGCGGCTGGTGATGAGCCAGTTGAACCCTCTGAAGATCTGCCTGCCGTCTGTGGTGAACTTTTTTGCTGCTATCACGAAGTAAGTGGCGCTGATGTGCAGGGAGTGTGCGAGGCCGCCGCAGGGCGGTGTGACGGGTGTGAGCCGTCCTGTTGTGAGCTCCCAGTCACCTTTTAAACGTCAAAGGGAGAACGGACCGGCTCCCGCAGCACAGACGCGCTGCTGCCATTGCTCTCTCTGCGGTGTCCCCAGGAGCTGCTGCGGGTTTTGGTCGGTGGGGACGGTTCCAAAGAAGATGGCACTTGGGCTGCGCAGTGCCCGCGTGGTAGGGAGTAAGGCGTGCCTGCAGCTTCCTGGCCTCAAAGGCCCGAGCCGCCCGCGCCTGCTGGCTGGGCGTCAGGCTCTGCTCTGAGCACCTGCGTGCAGCACAGCTCATGGCTGTATCGGGGAGATGCAGGCACAGCCCGGTTCATTCCTTGCCTGAAGTCAAAGGGCTGGAAGTGCTTAGGGCGTGGGAGCACCCCCTCCTCTCCCTCAGTCTGGCTTCCTGGCCAGCACTGAGCAGGGTTCAGACTTAGGGCCTTCCATGAGCTGGACTGTCACTTGGGCAGCTGCTGCTGTCACTCAGCCCTGGTGGCACCCAGGCCCTAGTGCCCTGTGCGGGACCTCAGCAGTGACTACGCCTTCCAGTGGAGAGCACCAACCAGGGCTGCGGCCTGTGCAGTGCCTGCTGGGCTTCTTTCCCGTGCCTTTGGAAGGAAACGCCTGTGGCCAGGGCTCTATTTTCTCCCCTCCTCTCCCTTTCTCTCCCCTTCCCTTGTCCCACTGGTATGGGCCTTTGTGCCATCTGTCTCCTTTTCCTTCAAGGTTGTGGCTCTACTAGTTGAGCCACACCTCCCCTTTCAGCTTTTTGCTGGTGAGCGGGACATAAGAGTATCATGGACTTCCCTGCCAGACTGGCTTTGAACTACTGTCCTAAGATCTCAGCATCTGGCATAGCTAAGGTTGCAGGTGTGAGCCACTGGTGCTGGCATCTGCGTTTCTGAGACCCAGTCCTCCTGCGTCCTGCCCCCAGCACAGTCTCCATCCCCGCCTCAGTAACTTCGCAGGTCCTTCACACCAAGCCTGTCAGAAAGCGGACGCCTGTCTAGTGATGCGAGCCGGGGTTGCCTTGCAGACACGGTGTTCACGCTGCCTCCACGCAGGCCTCATCTGCTCAAGTGATAGCAGCTGTGTCCCGCCCCCTAGCCGGCTGCGGAATGCTGTCCAAGAGTGCCACTTGCCATTGGTTCACTTCCTACGTCATACAGTTGTCACACGTGTCCTGTCTGTGCAAGGGTGAGGACAGCGTGTAACTGTCTGCTGTTGGGTTTTGGTGTCCACAGTAAATACCAGCTGGCCTTCTGCTACACCATCATTGAGAGGAACAGCCGCCAGATGCTGCCGGTTATCCGAAGTTCCGCCGGAGGGGACTCCGTGCAGACCTGCACCAACCCACTCGACACCTTCTTCCCCTTCGACCCCTGCATGCTTAAGAGGTCTGACCTTTGCCCAGGGATTGCGGCCCCTTCTGTTAGCCACGCTCGCCTTGCACGGGGACACGGGCCTTTTGTGTAAGGGGCCGGGATGGAGTGGCCACGGAAGGGGCTGCCTTCTCTGCGTAATTCCTTTCATTTATTATTATTATTATTTTTTGGGTCCGTTCGTGGGGCCTGAACTCTGGGTCTGGGCGCTGTCCCTCAGCTCTTCAGCTCAAGGCTAGCACTCTACCACTTGAGCCACAGCGCCACTTCCGGCTTTTTTCTTTTTGCGTATGTGGTGCTGAGGAATCGAACTCAGGGCCTCTGGCATGCAAGGCAAGCGCTCTACCACTGAGCCACCTTCCCAGCCCTGCGGAATTCCTTTCAAAGCCAGTGCCATGTGCCACTGGGCTGTGGTAGGAGCCACAGGCCAGTCTTCGTGGTTGACACCCTTTCTCACTAGCAGCACAGCTAGCTGAGACGGTCTGGTCCCAGCCTTGATTGTGGAGATCAGATGAGCTGACTTTCCTAGGCTCATTTTCCACAGGCTCCTAGGGCCAGGGCGCACTGTGGCCCCTGTGCTGAAGTGGGAGAAACAGCATGTGAAGAACCCCATTGTGAGTGGAGAGAGGACCCCTCACAGTGCTTACTTACCTAGAGTAGTGGCCAAGTAGCGTCCACGCTGTGGCCTTCACTGCCAAGAAAGCAAGCATGTTCTGGCTGTGTTGGTGTACTCTACTTGACGTTGACGCATGTCCTTGTTGACAGGTCGAAGAAGTTCATTGACCCCCTGTACCAGCAGTGGGAAGACATGAGCGCTGAGGAGCTGCAGGAGTTTAAGAAACCCGTGGCAAAGGTGAGGCGTTCAGGAGCAGCACGCTGGGTGGGCCATTCTGAAAACGTTAAAAGTGTGTGGCTAAGCGTGGTAGGCACACATTCTGGAGATTTCCACCGCAGCCAAGAGTAGGGCTTGGTGGTATGCACCCATCATTCCGGCAACAAAGGGAAACACAAATAGGGGGATCGCAGTCCAGGCCTACAGCAGCAGTACCGGCTCAGACACAGCTCTCAGAGTGGCTCAAGTGGTAGAGCACCTATATGGCAAACGAGGCCCTGGGTTCAAACCCCAGTGCTGAATTTTTGATTAGCAAAATGCTTTGCGTACTGGTTTTGGGAAACAGTTCATTGAAAATAAGCTGTAGCCACGATTCCAGGTGTGAGCCATCAGCACCCAGCAAGGTTTTCTTAAAATGGTGCTCAGCTACTGTGAAGCCACATTTCCAACCCATCTTCTAGAAAGTTGTTTTTTTTTTTTTTTGTCGGTTGTGGGGCTTGAACTCTGGGCCTGGGCGCTGTCCCTCAGCTCTTCAGCTCAAGGCGAGCGCTCTACCACTTGAGCTACAGCGCCACTTCCGGTTTTCTGGTGGTTTATTGGAGATAGGAGTCTCACGGTCTCTCCTGCCCGGGCTGGCTTTGAACCGCGATCCTCAGATCTCAGCCTCCTGAGTAGCTAGGATTACAGGCATGAGCCACCAGCGCCCGGCTTCTAGAAAGTTTTTATTGTATTTTCTGTTTTGGGAGCTACCTGCCCTCTTGGAGCTTAAAATCTCTTTGAAAGTCAAATCTCAGACAGATGAGCATTTTTGTGGGTGATTTATAACAAAGGTTCTAGTCTTTCAAAAGGAAGACTTTCTTCATCGCATGCCCCAAGACCTGGCATGGTGAGGGGCAGGGCAGGGGGTGTAGGATGGAGGGATTGTCACGGGCACTTGTCTTCCTGACGCTGAGTTTTCTGTGCAGATGGCAGTGGAAGATGAGGATGACGATTTTCTGAAAGGCGAAGCGGCACAGAGTGAAGCCACCATCGGGCTCACGCCGAGCTCCTTCGATGCCCACTTCCGCAGCCCTTCCAGCAGCGTGGGGTCGCCCCCCTTGCTGTATGCGCCAGGCCAGTCCCCAGTGGTCTCGAGGATCTGTGACTGAGGCTCGCTGTCCTTCGAGGGAGGCTGTCCGGCTCCTTTACTAGAGCCAGCGCATGCCACGGGCGTTGCAGGTCCACGAGTGTGTGGAGTGTTGTCTCTTCCTTTGGTTCTCTTCAGATGAGAGGCAAAGACTTGAGTGTCCAGCGTGTGACCCGGGACAGGGGGTTCAGTGGGAAGTGCGTGTTGGTCTTTAATGTGTACGTGGCTTGTTATGTGATTAGTATCGTGGGCCCCGGGAGTTTCAGCGGGTGACTGTTTCCACATGGGTTCCTGTCGGAAGCCCCAGGCTCCGCTGGCCTGACCGGTGACAAGGCCTTTAGGTCGAGCCCTCCCTGGGAGGACTTGGGAGATCTGTTCCTTTGCTCCCCGCTGTTTTGTGTGCTGGGAAGCTCACAGTATGAGCTGGCATGGAAGGAAGTCTGAGACTGCAGAGGCCGGAGGAGCAGCAGGGAAGGGGAGAGGACTGCAGTCCCGGCAGTAGATGCTGTGCAGTACAGGAATGGGCTCCTGCTGACCGGAAGTGGCCTGCCAGTCAGGAGCCGCTTCCTGCCCGTTACACTGGGTTCTTTTGGCCTGGCATCAGTTGGTTATTTTGAGAATTTTCTTTGTCCAAACAGGAAAACAATCTTCTCGATTGTTTGGTGGCCAGTGTTGCTCGTTTGTCCTCAGTGTGGGTGTGACGTTCGGCTGTTGCTTATAAAGCCCAGGCTTGTTTACTTGTTTATGTATTTGTGAAAATGGCCACTTTTATGCCTATTTATTTTTCTCTACTTGTATTTATTTAAAATGGAGCAATATTTTCTTGATCCACAGATATTTTGTAATGAACCACTTGCTCTTCTCCAGGGCTATGCTTGCTCTTCTGTCATTACGTTGACTGCAATGTGGGATTTCAATTCCAGTCTGTAAATAACCTTTTTGAAAAAAAGAAATTTGTATTAAAAAGTCTTTTGGGTAGTGGTGATTATCTTTGGTGGCTTGTGGAAAGTCACTTGAGAGCCTTAGGTTCTCTTTTTAACTGCTGACAAAAAGATAGCCTTTGTGTACAGGATAAAACACAACGCAGAAGGAGGGGATGGGTCTTCAGACTTAGGAAGTAGTTAATAGTGTACAAGGTTAGGTTTACAAATAAGTGTTCAACTTCAAAGGGGGTTGACTACAGTAGCTATTGTGAAAATAATGCAATATTTAATCTGAAATTTTCATTCATATGCCAATAAATGGGGTTGTCTTAATAAAGATGTTTCACATAAATGTTCTTAGGATTTCTGGGTTTGCTTTAAAAACAAATTGTAAAGCTGGTTTGGGGTGCTAATGCACAGTTTCTGCATGGGAAAACAGCTCCCAGACTCTGCTGCTGCTTTTTTTTTTTCCAGTCATGGGGCCTGAACTCTGGGCCTGGGCGCTGTCCCTCAGCTCTTCAGCTCAAGGCTAGCGCTCTACCACTTGAGCCACAGCGCCACTTCCGGCTTTTTTTTCTGCATATGTGGCCCTGAGAAATGGAACCCAGGGCCTCATGCATGCAAGGCAAGCACTCTACCACTGAGCCACCTTCCCAGCCCCCGGCTCTGCTTCTTGAGGGAAAACTGCCCTGTTCAGAATCAAAAAACACAAACTAGTGAATGTGGTCCACCGGTCTTAGTGTCAGCAGCTCTGAGCCAAGAGGGACAGGCCTGATCATGTCGGCACCGTGCTGGCAGGGTGGTGGCGCGCAGCTGCATTCCCAGCACTTGGACTGCTGAGGCCGGGGAATGGAGGGGAGTTCAGGCCGGACTCAGGTTTCCCATTACATGCTTTGAAGGAATGGGTGGGGGGTAACGAAATCTCCTTGGAAGAGGATACGAATTTTAACAGGCAAGGGGCGGGGGGGGGGGGGGGGGGCTGCACGAAGCACGGGCCAGTACTGAGGCTTGAACTCGGGTCAAGGCTGGTGCTCTACCACCTGAGCCACAGGGCGCGCTTCAAGCCAGCCTTGGGAGGGCCTTCAGGTTCCGGCCCCTGTGAGAGTCACCTACGAGGTGCCAGCCGGTGCCAGGGCCCGGCCCCCGCAGCCCCACGCGCCACCTCACCGCTGGGAACCACCGCGCCAGCCGCGCGGGCCGGACGTGTGGCGAGCTTGGGAGTCACCGCATGCTGCGGCCTCCCGGCACGGAGCGGGGTGTGCGCACGGCGCGCGGGGCCGGACGGGCTGAGGAGCGGGGTGCGCACGGCGCGCGGGGCCGGACGGGCTGAGGAGCGGGGTGCGCGCGGCGCGCGGGGCCGGACGGGCTGAGCAGCGGGGTGCGCGCGGCGCACGGGGCCGGACGAGCTGAGCAGCGGGGTGCGCGCGGCGCACGGGGCCGGACAAGCTGAGCAGCGGGGTGCGCGCGGGGCCGGACGGGCTGAGCAGCGGGGTGCGCGCGGCGCACGGGGCCGGACGAGCTGAGCAGCGGGGTGCGCGCGGGGCCGGATGGGCTGAGCAGCGGGGTGCGCGCGGCGCGCGGGGCCGGACGGGCTGAGCAGCGGGGTGCGCGCGGCGCGCGGGGCCGGACAGGCCGAGGAGCGGGGTGCGCGCGGGGCCGGACGGGCTGAGCAGCGGGGTGCGCGCGGGGCCGGACGGGCTGAGCAGCGGGGTGCGCGCGGCGCGCGGGGCCGGACGGGCTGAGTAGCGGGGTGCGCGCGGGGCCGGACGGGCTGAGCAGCGGGGTGCGCGCGGCGCGCGGGGCCGGACGGGCCGAGGAGCGGGGTGCGCGCGGGGCCGGACGGGCCGAGCAGCGGGGTGCGCGCGGGACCGGACGGGCTGAGCAGCGGGGGTGCGCGCGGCGCGCGGGGCCGGACGGGCTGAGCAGCGGGGTGCGCGCGGGGCCGGACGGGCTGAGCAGCGGGGTGCGCGGGGCCAGACGGGCCGAGGAGCGGGGTGCGCGCGGCCGGACGGGCCGAGCAGCGGGGTGCGCGCGGGGCCGGACGGGCCGAGCAGCGGGGTGCGCGCGGGGCCGGACGGGCCGAGCAGCGGGGTGCGCGCGGGGCCGGACGGGCCGAGCAGCGGGGTGCGCGCGGGGCCGGACGGGCCGAGCAGCGGGGTGCGCGGGGCCGGACGGGCCGAGGAGCGGGGTGCGCGCGGGGCCGGACGGGCCGAGGAGCGCGGTGCGCGGGGCCGGACGGGCCGAGGAGCGGGGTGCGCGCGGGGCCGGACGGGCCGAGGAGCGGGGTGCGCGCGGGGCCGGACGGGCCGAGCAGCGGGGTGCGCGCGGGGCCGGACGGGCCGAGCAGCGGGGTGCGCGCGGGGCCGGACGGGCCGAGCAGCGGGGTGCGCGCGGGGCCGGACGGGCTGAGCAGCGGGGTGCGCGCGGGGCCGGACGGGCTGAGCAGCGGGGTGCGCGGGGCCAGACGGGCCGAGGAGCGGGGTGCGCGCGGGGCCGGACGGGCTGAGCAGCGGGGTGCGCGCGGGGCCGGACGGGCTGAGCAGCGGGGTGCGCAGGGCGCGCGGGGCCGGACGGGCTGAGCAGCGGGGTGCGCGCGGGGCCGGACGGGCTGAGCAGCGGGGTGCGCAGGGCGCGCGGGGCCGGACGGGCTGAGCAGCGGGGTGCGCGCGGCGCGCGGGGCCGGACGGGCTGAGCAGCGGGGTGCGCGCGGGGCCCGTCCGCCCGTCCGCGCGGAGGTCTGGGGCGAGCACAGGCGGGCGGTCCTGAGGTCACGGACGCGCGCCGGGGAGGGGGCGCCCGCGGAACCCGGACGCCAGCGGCGCAGTGGTTTCTCCAGGAAGGGCGCGCCCAGCTCAAACCTGCCGGGCCGGGGAGGCCCGGGGCGGCGTCTTGAGCGCGCCCGCCGCGGCGGGGTGCGCGTCCCCTCGGACCCGCTCCTCAGGCCACAGCTGCCCGGAGCACGTCACCACCACGCTTCGGGGACTGCATTTCCCGGCGTTCCTTGCGATGCCCGGCGTCCTGCGTTTGGACTACATTTCCCGAAAGGCCCCGGGCCTTGCCCGGCGCTCCCTCAGCCTTCTTCGGTGGGGACCACCTCCGTCAGGACTACATTTCCCGGCAGCGCCCGCGACGAAGAGAGGCGAGGTGTCTCGAGCGGCCGAGGGCGGGGACGCGGCGGCGGCGGCGGCGCCGGGGGCGCCGGGCAGCGGAGGCCGCCGCCTCCCTGGGTCAGCCGGGGCGGCCGCCTCGGCCATGCCGCTGCTCGTGGACGGGCGGCGAGTGCGGCTGCCGCAGTCGGCGGCGGAGCTGGTCCGAGCCCACCCGTGTCTGGAGGTGAGCGCGGCCGGCGCGGGGGGCTCCGGGGCGGGCCGAGGGAGACCCACCGCCGCTTCCGGGCTTCCCGGGACGGAGTTTGAACTTGGCGCGGGCGAGCGCCGCGGGCGCGGCCGGCCCCGACGGCTCCGGACCGCGGAGCGCCTCCCGCCCTCAGTCTTCGGAAGCCCGGGCCCGTCAGACCCGAGGGTCGGGGGCCAGAGAGGTTAGGCGACCGGCCCAAGGTCGCCCAGCACCGCGCCCCGAGGGTTCCCGGCGCGTCCGTGCCCCCCGTTTCCGGACCCGGACGGGCGGAGCGCTGCGTGTGGGGACGGAGCCCGGCGGGGGGGGGGGCTCCCCGCGCCTTCCTCCCCTCGCGGGGCGTCGGGCGCCCCGTTGTTCCCGGCCGGAAGGAAGCCCGCGCGCGCGCGCGCGCCCCGGCCGGACCGGGGAGGACACGCCCCGGGGAAGGGAGCGCGCGCGCGCGTGGCCGCGCTTTCCTGCTTTGTCCGGGCCGGGGCTCCGCGGGTTCGGGGACCCCCCCGGGAAGCGGGCCGGGGTGGGGGGCGGACGCCCGCAGTCAGGGCGCCGACGGGGCGCCCGCGCCCCGCTGTCCGCTCGCGCGCGCGCGCCGGCCCGGCCGGGGCGCGAACTCGGGGCCTCGGGCGCTGCCCCTGAGTGGCCGCCTGGGAAGGTCGGGAGGGCTCCCGCGCCGGCCGCGCTGCGACCGCCGTCCTCCCCCCCCCCCCGGCCCCTCCGCTCATCCTCCGCCTGGGCCTGCGGCCCGCAGAGTTCACTTCCTGGGCCCAACGTCAGACGGACGGGCAGACAGACTGACGGGCAGACAGACAGATGGGCAGACAGAGTCCTGCAGGGCGGCACCTGCGCTCCTTGCTGCCCTGGAATTTCCCCCTCCCTCCCTCCTTCCCTCCCTTCCTTCCTTCCTTCCTTCCTTCCTTCCTTCCTTCCTTCCTTCCTTCCCTCCCTCCTCTCCCTCCTTCTGTTCCTCCCTCCCTCCCTCCCCCCTCCCTTCCTTCCCTCCCTCCCTTCCTTCCCTCCCTCCCTTCCTTCCCTCCCTCCCTTCCTTCCTCCCTTCCCTCCCTCTGTTCCTCCCTTCCCTCCCTCCCTTCCTTCCTCCCTTCCCTCCCTCCCTTCCTTCCTCCCTTCCCTCCCTCTGTTCCTCCCTTCCCTCCCTCCCTTCCTTCCTCCCTTCCCTCCCTCCCTTCCTTCCTCCCTTCCCTCCCTCTGTTCCTCCCTTCCCTCCCTCTCTCCCTCCCTTCCTTCCCTCCCTCCTTTCCCTCCCTCCCTTCCCACTTCCCCCTTTTTTCTCCTCTTCTTCCTCCCTCTCTCCCTCCCTTCCTTCCCTCCCTCCTTATTTTCCTCCCTCCCTCCCTTCCCACTTCCCCCTTTTTTTCTCCTCTTTCTTCCTCCTCCCTCCTCTTCTTCCTCCCTCCTCCTCCTCCCCTTCCTCCTCCCCCCCCCTTTGTGTGCCTGTACTGGGGCTTGAACTCAGGGCCTGGTCACACCACCATTTGAGCCACAGCTCCACTTCCGGCTTTTTGTTGATGAACTGGAGACAGGATCTTGGCGCTCGCGGCTTCGAGGCAGGGCACTGGCTAGCTCCTTCCCTAGTGTTGGGTTCCTGTCAGACAGCTAGTGAAGGCGGAGGAGTAGTGCTGGCCAAGGAAAACATTTGAACCACCTAAGGAATCCTGCTTGTATGTCTGCAAGTTTGCAGGGCAGGAAGTGAGATGTGTCCATTCGTGGAGGGGCCCCTGGAGGTGGGTTGGCCTGTTTAGGGAGCGGGGTGTGGAAAGGCTGTAGCGTGGGGAGCAGCTCACTTGACGGGAACATGGTGGAGGGATCCAGGGTGGGCCTCTGGGGGACCCTTGGGTCCTGGCCAGCTTTCCTGGCCTTGGGCACGTGGGGAGGAGAGGAAACCGTCGCTTCACCTAAAAGCTCTTGGGAGAAATGAGCAGCATGTGCTATTTTAGGGAAAAAGGTAATATAAACTAGTCAGAGATGGTGGTGTCCACCTGTAATCCCAGCACGTGGGAGGTTGGGGCAGAGGCAGGACTGAGTATTCCAGGTCAGGTTGGGCTGCAGAGTGAGATTGTGTGTGCGTGTGTGTGTGCGCGCGCGCGTGTGTATAAGTGTGCACGTGCGCACATGTGTAGCACATGTGTATGAGGGCTTGAACTCAGGGTGTGTCATTCTTCCTCAGTGTATTTTGCTCATAGTTGGTGCTCCAATGCTTGTTTGAAGGTAATTGGAGATATGTCTGATTTGTTTGCCTGGCTGGCACTGAAACCCAAGATCCCCACATCTCAGGATCTGAGTAGCTAGGATTGTAGGTGTGTCCACAACACTCAGCTACACAGGGAGATGCTATGCCAAACCACAGAAAATACTATATATGTATGTGTGTACACACACATAATTATCTTTGGTTACCGTTCTAGTTCATATTTTGGGTTTTTTTTTTTTTTGCCAGTCCTGGGGCTTGAACTCAGGGCCTGGGTGCTGTCTCTGTTTCTTTTACTCGTCTAGTGCTCAAGGACTGAGAATGTGGCTCAGTGGTAGAGTGCTTGTCTAGAATTCATAAAGCCCTGGGTTTGATTCCCCAGTACCACATAAAAAGAAAAAGCTAGAAGTGGCACTGTGGTTCAAATGGTAGAGTGCTAGCCTTGAGCAAAAGAAGGTCAGGCATAGTACCCAGGCCCTGAGCTCAAACTCCAGGACTGGCAAAAAAAAAAAAAAAGTCTGCTTGACCACTTGAGCCACAGCACCACTTCCAGCTTTTTTGGTGGTTTATTGGAGATAAAAGTCTCACAGACTTTCCTGCCTGGGCTGGCTTTGAACCTCGATCCTCAGATCTCAGCCACCTGAGGCGTGAGCCACAGGTACCCAGCCTGAGGCTTTTTTTGGATAGGTAGATGATGCACTTTTTTGTATGCTGCTTGAAATCATGGCCTTGTACAAGCCAAGCAGCTTATTCCCAGCTGGCACTCTGTCACTTAATCTGTGACTCCAGTCTGGCTTTTTGTTGGCTAATTGGATATGGAACCTCATAGACTTTTCTGTCCAGGTTGGCTTTTATCTACTATCCTAACATCTTAGCCTGTTGTAGCTAGGATTTCAGATGTGAGCCAGTAGTGCCCATCAGGTAGGTGTGTGTGTGTGTGTGTGTGTGTGTGTGTGTCCGTGTCCTGGTGCTTGAACTGAGGGCCTTGAGCTTGCACTTGGATCTTCCCCTCTAAGCTAACACTCTGCCAGTAGACATATGTCTTCAGTTCTGACTGTTTTGGTTGGTTAATTGGAGGAGGTAAGTCTCCTGGATGTTTTTCTTTCTGGGCTGGCTTTGAACCTGGGTTCTCAGATCTTCCGCTTTCTGAGTAGCTCGGATTACAAGTGTGAGCCACCAGTAAGTACCTTGTGAACATAACTTTTCTGTTGTTGTTGCTAGTCCTGGGGCTTGAACTCAGAACCTGGGCACTGTCCCTGAGCCTCTTTGTGCTCATGGCTAGTACTCTACTACTTGAGCCACAGCACAACTTCTGACTTTTTCTGAGTAGTTTATTGGAGATAAGCGTCTCACGGACTTTCCTGCCTGGGCTGGCTTGGAACCATGATCCGCATCTCAGCTTCGCGAGCAGCTAGGATTATGGGTGTGAGCCGCCAGGGCCTGGCTGTGATGACCCATACTGCGTGTTCCCGTCTCTTTCTGCAGTTGGATGCCTAGAAGGCTACAGGCTTCCCTTGTCTGCAGTGTAACACTTCAGCCAACCACAGTCTGAAAATATTACGCGGAAAGTTCTAGAATATTAACAATTCATAAATTGTGAGCCATTCTTCTTTCAGTGTATTGTTGGGATTGTTCTACTTTATGGTTATCACTTTAGGTTCTGTTTTTATGTGTTACAGTGCCTGGTTTGGAACTAAACTTGATCCTGGGTGTGTGTGTGTGTGTGTGTGTGTGTGTGTGTGTGTGTGTGTGTGTGTGTGTGTGTGTGTGTGTGTGTGTGTGTGTGTGTGTGTGTGTGTGTGTCTACAGTCACAGGTGTGTGTGTGTGTGTGTGTGTGTAGCTACAGTCACAGGTGCTTTCAGGCCCCCGCTGGGGACGGGGACGGGGGCGGGGGCCGTGGGGTGGCCAGGCCGCAGGTCTCCGAGACCCCCTGGATGGCGGAGGTGGCCCTAGGTCTTTTTCTTTCACACGTGGACTGGACAGAGGGTTGAGTGGCCTGTCCCAGGCAGGCCCCATCTTCTGGCAGCCGTGGAGCCAGGCCAGCATCCCTGCAGCGCCTCACTCACAGCTGGGGGTGGGGTGGGGGGAGGGCACATGGCTGGGCGCATGCGCAGGCCATTGCCAACCCACGAAAAGGCCCTGGGCGCCTGCGCAGACCATTGCCACCCACGGAAGGGCTGTGCTGCCCAGAGTGGCCTCCCCAGGACCACTGGTTGTAACTCCCTTGCTTCCCAGAAGCCCATGATGTTGGTGCACGCCCCGCAGTGTTGGATATTAGGATAGCCCTCTGCTGCTGAGCTACACCACTGCCCTTGTTTTTTTTTTTTTCTTTCTTTTGGGCGATGCTGGGCTTTGAACTCAAGGCCTTGAGAGGTTGCTACCACATGAGCCATACCTCCAGTCCTGTTTGTGTGTGTGTATACACAAGCACATGTGTACTGGGGCTTGAACTTGGGGCCTCTTGTTCTTTGTTTGGCTTTTTCCCTCATGGCTGGTGCTGTACCATGAACACATTTTGTTGATTATTTCCGCCTGGGCTGATTAGCCTCCAGTCTCAGCCTCCTGAATAGCGAGGATTCCAGGTGTGAGTCTCCAGTACCTAGCTAAAAGAGGAATATTCTATCACATGGGGCATTGTATGAAATTCAAGTTGCAGTGTCACCTGTAAGATTTTTTTTTCTGCTTTTTGTTTGGTGAAAGCTCTGGGGCTTGAACTCAGGGCCTGGGCACTGCCCCTGAGCTTTTTCGTGCTCAAGTCTAGCATTCTGCATTTGAGACACAACTCCACAAAGTACTTCTTAGCAACTAATTGGAGATAGTGTCATGACCTTTCCTGCCCAGGCTGGCTTTGACTCAGTGTCTTCAGATCTCAGGCTCCTGAGTGGCAGTGATTACAGGTGTAAGCCACCTGCGCCTGGCTTTTCATTTTAGGAAATGAGGCGCAAACCTTTAAGGAGCTTGAGAGGTGGTAGAGCATCTGCAGGAGGCCAGAGCGGGGCCTCCAGTGGAGGAGTGGAAGGAGAGAAACTGTTAGCTTTACATTTTTGAAAAAGTGTCTATAATTCTTCCACTGAAGAGTTTAACCACGTTAATTTCTTTCATTTTCGATGGCGCTAGCTGGAACCCAGGGCTTGTGCATGCTTGGCAAGTGTTCTGCCCGAGCCACACGCTGCGCACGCACATGCGCTTCGCTTTCCTTTCTCCTTTTTTTTGGCCACACTGGGGCTTGAACTCGGGCTCACACTTGCTAGCAGGTGTTCTACTCTTGAGTAGTGCGTCCAGCCTCTGCAGTCCTGCCTCTGCCTCCCAAGTGCGGGGGTCGCAGTAACGGCTTACTGTGTAAGAATTGATGCAAATACTCAAATATCTGACACTTATCATATCCTACATGCCCTGTCCTTTTTTTTTTTTTGTCGGTCGTGGGGCTTGAACTCTGTCTGGGCCTGAGCACTGTCCCTCAACTCTTCAGCTCAAGGCTAGCACTCTACCACTTGAGCTACAGCACCACTTCCAGTTTTCTGGTGGTTTATTGGAGATAAGAGTTTCACGGACTTTCCTGCCCGGGCTGACATTGAACCTCTATCCTCAGATCTCAATCTCCTGAGTAGCTAGGATGACAGGCGTGAGCCACCAGTGCCCGGCTCATGCCCTGTCTTTAATGGTAAGATCACAGAACATTCCGACACTAGAGCAAAGGCAGAGAGACAGTCGCGTTTGCATCAGGCCAGCTGTGAGTCTGACTTTTCTTCTAGTGCTTTCCTGGTGTGAAAAAGCATTTCGCCATGATGGTAGTAACAGTGTTTACAGCTCTTTGGAAATTTACCCTTTCATGCCGTGTCTTCTAGCGAACAGTGAGGTGTTCTCCCCGCCCTCTCCTTTACTCGTGGCCGTGTCTGTTGCTCCCAGGCTCTGGCAGTTCTGAGCAACAGCAGTGGGCCCGTGTTGAGGTCCTTCCTCAGGATGCACTGGCAGAAGTGGGGTTCCTAGATGAGCAGATCGGGAAGGCCTTCACCCTTGTCTCTGAAAGGGAAGGGCTGGGGGTGGGGGGTCACCCACCACTGCTCCGACATGGTCAGGCATCTCCACTGTGGAGCCAAGCACCGTTGAGCGTTCGTGCACCTCCCTCCTCGGGAGGGCAAAGCACCTCCGTGCGTGCTGGCGTTGCAACGGTGAGTGTGACAGCACACTGGAGACACCCCGGAGGCCCAGGAGCACCTCGGCTCTCCCCACCGCTAGCTACTCACGCCTCACTAATTTACACTCGCTATTTATTTTGTTTTAATTAAACAGGAAAGAGCCAGACTTCTCAGAGGTCAGTCTGTTCAACAAGTGGGACCCCAGGGCCTTCTGTATGTTCAGCAAAGAGAGCTTGCAGTCACCTCCCCAAAGGATGGTAGGTTAGGAAGCCGTCAAGTGGGCGCTGCTCCCCGAGGCGACTGGATGCTTCATTTTATTTCTTTTTCGAACAGGCTCCGTCTCCATTCTGGGTTCTGATGATGCCACCACTTGTCACATTGTGGTCCTGAGGCACACAGGTATGCTCAGAGGCGAAGGAAGCAGCCACGTGACCCCTCCGCGCATGCGCCGGGCCGGCTGGCTGCTGGCATCTGTCTGGTGTCCTGGTCGGAATGGGTTGGCTGGCAGCGCGGCTGCTCTCTCTTCTCTATCCCTGTCTCTGTCTCTCTTTCCCAGGGCATCCAAAGATGAGGTGGGCCGAGTGGACAGGAGCGGCCTTGGCTCGCGCGCACGCTTGCCACGAGGACTAACAGAGCCGTGTCCCCTTCTTCTCCAGGTAACGGGGCCACCTGCCTGACGCACTGTGATGGGTCGGACACCAAGGCCGAGGTGCTGCTGATCATGAACGCCATCAAGTCCTTCTCCGACCACGCGCAGTGTGGAAGGTGAGCGCGCGCTGGCGTGGAGGGCGCGGGCTCGGGCGCGGCGCTGGCTGGCAGTGGACATTTGACTTTGAGCCCTCAAGTGACAACCTGCTTTCCCGTGCCGGGCCCGGCCGCACCCCCGCGCCGCCAACCTTCCACCACTCGGTCACTTCTCCAACACGGGCTGTTTGTGGGTTCCGAACTGGCCTGCCCACCCCCCCCCCCCCAATGTCCCCCACACAGCACATTACACAAGCCAAGCGGACACAGTGGAGTCCCTCGTTTGTGTAGGCACACAGCCCAGGGCCAGCTGCCACACCAGTGCCCACACCCCGTCCCCTCCTCCCTGTCACTAGACCCCGCTCTCCTCTCCACCTCACCTGCCCGTGAGCCTGCCCGGCCCACTCCACGCTTAGGTCCCAGGGAACGAACGCCAGCCTCCCTCCTCCTAAAATGTGAATGTGCGCAGGCGCGCGCGGCCGGCTGGGGCAACACCGCCCCCTGCAGGTGGCTCAGCAGCTCGGGGGCCAGGTTAGGTATTCTGTGTGCCTGGAGGCAGCGTGCGGGACGGGTCCCGTGTGTTCCTTGGGCGGCGGGTTTTGTGTCTGAGAGCAGGCAGGTGGACTGCAGCACCGGCTGCGGGGCTGGGGGAGGGGGGCAGTGAAGAACGTTTGCTTTTGCAGCTATCACCTTCCTGGGAACCCTGCCAGGCACACGCAGGGCAGGGCCACGGCCTTTCTCTCCTTCATCTCAGGGCCGCCCGCCGCACAGTTGCCCCCACAGGGACCCTGCTGATGCTCAGCCTCTTGCAGAAGGGGCTGGTGCTAGAGGTGGCTGATGGCGCCGAGGAGGACCCCAGCACCCGTCACTAAGCATGCACACGCCCTGTGCCCTGTGTCCCGCTGGCCCTGAGCCCTGCCCCCTCTCTTCCAGGCTGGAGGTGCACCTCGTGGGAGGCTTCAGTGACGACAGGCAGTTGTCCCAGAAACTGACCCACCAGCTGCTTAGTAAGTGCCACCTTCTCCCTCCGTTCCCACGCTTGCTCGTGGTAAACACCCCTGGTAGCAGAGCAGCGAGCCACGTGCACAGGCCAGGGCCGGCTGCAGTCGCAGACTGACCCCTCGGAGCGGAGTCCACAATGAGGGGGGAGATTAGCTAAGACGGAACTGGCAGAGTTAGAATAGCTGGCATGGGACTGCGGCAGGCCCGCCCGCAGCCTGGCAGGAGTGCCCAGGAGTGCTGGACGCGCAGGCGGCAGCGCAGGCAGGGGCTTGCGGGGAGCAGACACCAGCGTGGGAGGGTCACACCTCTACCTCTGGGGACCCGAGTCACCTGATGGGCAAACACTCAGGCCCAAGGCTGAACAACACTCGTGACAAATGGAACTGTGTAATGTCTCAGTAAGACAGTTCCGCAGACACTGAACACTGTTAGGGGCTGGGCGTGGTGGCATGTGCCTAGAAGTGGAGGCAGGAGGCTGAGATCTGAGTATCATGGTTTAAAGCCAGTCCAGGCCAGAAAGTCCATGAACTCTTTACTTCTACTTAACTATCAAAAAGCCAGAAGTGGAGCTGTGTCTCAGGTGGTAGAGTGCTAGCCTTGAATAGGATCAGTGCCCAGGTTCTGAGTTCAAGTCCCAGGTAGAAATGGCACAAAAAGGGGAGGGGGATTACGATACAAAAGTACTGCTTGCGAGGAGGGCTGGATTCCGTGGGTAAGGCAGCTGGCGGGATCCGAATCGCAGTACACGTGCACTCGTGCGGGAAAGTGAGGCAACCACCCTGCTGTCCCCAGAGCAGCCGGGCGCGGGGCCGGGCGGGCAGCTCGCTTGGTTCTGGCCATAGAAGATGGCGGGCAGAGGCCACTGAGCCCCGCACCTCTCCCCTAGTGATGTCAGCCTTCCCGTCCTAACTGTAGGTGAATTTGACAAGCAAGAAGAGGACATTCACCTAGCAACGCTGTGCGTGACAGGTAGGTTCTGCCATTTCCTAGTGAGGCTTGCTGTCTACTCCTCCCTCCTGCAGTAGCCTCTTTACTCCCGGAGGCGGGGTGGGGGGGGAATGCAAGGGGGGGATGCGGGGGGGGGGGGCAGAGGAACTGCAGGGAGGGGGCGGGAGGTCGCAGGGAAACTCAGCCGGCCTCATTTGTACAGAGTCGGAACAGCAGCGTAGCGCATCCTGACCCCGTATCTTACAGTTGTTTCTCTTTAGAATTAAATGACCGGGAAGAAAACGAAAACCATTTCCCAATCATTTACGGCATTGGTAAGCAGCATTTATTGGAGGGCTGGCGTGGTTACAGGGGCGCAGGCAGGCTTGGGGTTGGAGTCTTGAGGGGCGGACCTGTGATCCACCGCTGTTGGAACAGGACAGCCTTGGGTTCGAATCCTGGCTCTGTGGCTTACCCATGAGCACGAAGCTCCACTAACACATCTGTGAAGCCATGCAGAGAAAACAGCACAGCCTATTCCCGCACCAACGACGCTGTCACTCAGGCCTCTGCTTTCCCTTGGGTGACAAGAGGAGTCCTACGCAAGTGTGGAGCTCAAGCCCCCCCCCCCCCCCCCATCACGATCTGGAGGCTGGAGCACCAACTTGGCTCCTCTGAGGTGGACTCTGCTCTGTCTTGAAGCTCCTGTCCACTGAGCCTGGTGCTCAGTTCTTTCAGTCTCGATAATTCTGTGTGCATCAAGCACAGTAGCCAGCCTGCTGCAGGCGGGGCCTGGTCCCCCCCCCCCCCCCCCCCCCCCCCCGGCTGCCGCGCATGTTGTCAGGGTGTAAAGCCCTACTTGCTCTTGTCACATCAGTCCTCTTCCCCTGCAGCTGTCAACATTAAGACCGCCGAGATCTACAGAGCCTCCTTTCGAGATCGAGGCCCAGAGGCGGAGCTGCGGGCTGCCAGGGCGTTAGCAGGAGGCCCGGTGAGTGCGGACTCTTGGAGGGCAGCGGGAGGCAGGAAGAGGGCACAAACAGGGAGTCCGAAGAACCCCAGAAGAGGAGCTGATGGCTGCCTCTCGAAAGCTAAGCTTCCCCAGGACCGTGTACACTTGGTTACACCTAAGTGCAGAACCCAGGTCTCTGCCTCACAGCTGCAGGAGAGTGGAGGGGACCCCGCGTCTCCACTGCACACCCCGGCCCCAGCAGGCCACTGAAGATGCATCACATCCCACAGAGCTTAATCTCCTGAGGAAGGCCCCTCAATCTTTGAGTGTGCAAGTGAGCCGCACGGCCCCAAGCTGTAGGTGCTTTTTAAAGACTATTTTAAAAGGAGGGGCTGCACAACACAAGGCACACCCTGCAGAAGAAAAGCCAAAGAGACATTTTCATGCCTCTGCCCTGGGTCAAATGAAAGGGACAGAGGTCCCCCCAGCCTTTCCTCCCCAGCTGGGCAGGGACCACTTTCCCTCCCTCCCAGGGAGCCTCCTATCTGCCTAGCCTTGTGCCAATTAAGGGTGCTTCGCTTTTCACCCTTTAAAAAAAAAGGGGGGGGGGCTGTAGAGGGAAGCTAGGAGGAGGGCACAGAATTAGAGGGAAACAGGAAAAAATACATGAGAGGGGCCCATCAGCTGCACTGGACATGGATGCAACTCAAGGACAGTGATGGGAGGGGGAATGAGCGGGAAAGAGGGAACAGCTCACACTAAGCAAAAGGAAAGAAAGGTACACACCCCAAACACAGAAGAAATAGTTGTATTGTCAAGGTTTATAGAATTCACAAATGTTATAGACCATGATAATGACAATTTGCCTTGTGAAAATTAAAATGTATTTGTGACTGTCACTATCCTACAATACTGTAAAATTTATGTTGTCATTTAATCTCAATAAAAAATTAAAAGCCAGGTGCCAGTGGCCCATGCCTGTCACCCTAGCTACTCAGGAGGCTGAGATCTGAGGATCCCGGTTCAGAGCCAGCCCGGGCAGCAACATCCGTGAGACTCTTATCTCCAATAAACCACTAGAAAACCAGAAGTGGCGCTGTGGCTCAAGCAGTAGGGTGCTCGCCTTGAGCTGAAGAGCGCAGGGACAGTGCCCAGGCCCAGAGTTCAAGCCCCACAACTGACTGAAAAATAAATAAAAATTAAAAAATATTTTTAAAAAAGTAGGGGCTGTAGACAGGGCTCAATGTTTGCTTAATGAGCATGAACAGGATCATGGATTCAATTCCTAGCACTACCAGAATAAATTAGACAAAAATACTCACATGCCCCGTTTGAGGAATGAGTGGGAGGAGCTGTAGAAGCATTCAGAGTATAAAATGCACTCCTCAAGTCTGGGAACTATGGCATTCCTGGTGGCAAAGGTGATTTGTTCTGCCGGCCTTTTACCCTGAGTTTTCCCTGAGGTTGTTTTTTTTTGGGGGGGGGGGGGGGGCGGGAGGGATCCGGTCATGGGGTTTGAACTCTGGGCCTGGGCGCTGTCCCTCAGCTCTTCAGCTCAAGGCTAGCGCTCTACCACTTGAGCCACAGCACCACTTCCGGCTTTTTGCTTATGTGGTGCTGAGGAATCGAACCCAGGGCCTCAGGCATGCAAGGCAAGCGCTCTACCACTGAGCCACCTTCCCAGCCCATCTGCCGGCCTTTTAATATTCTCAGCATTCCTGTAGTAATCAAGCGTCTAGCCTGGGCACTGCAGGTTAGGTCACCGCTGTGCACTTGGGGGATGGATCATGTGGCGAATCTGCTTTATATGTTTTTATTTGTGCCAGTTCTGAGGCTTGAACTGAGGACCTCGGTGCTGTTACTTCTGCACTCGAGGCTGGCTAGCACTTTTACCACTTGAGCCATAGCTGGTTACTTGAAAGAGTTTCATGGATTTCTCTGCCCAGGCTGACTTTGAACCTCCATCCTCAGATCTCAGTCTCCTGACTAGGATTCTAGGTGTGCACCATTGGTGCCTGGCTTCAAGTTTTCCTTTCTATTGGTAGGCCAGTAGACACTGCAAGCTAAGCAGCCAGAGGTGACTAACAAGATGGCCATCTTGTGCAGCCCCAGGGAGCACAGAGCACAGCTGCCGCTCTGCCTCAGATAGCAGCGCCATGGGCAGGCGACACGTGGGTGCACTCAGGTGGTGGCAGCCCAAGGCGGCCATGGCAGCGTGCCTTACCTCTGCTCCTTGACTTGTCTCCCCCAGATGATCAGCATCTACGATGCACACACACAGCTGCTGCGGATAGGCCCGTATTCCTGGACGCCATTTCCACACGTGGACTTCTGGCTGCAACAAGATGACCAGCACATACTAGAGGTGAGGACTTCCATCTGCAGACCCTGCCTTCCTCCCCTGTAAGGAAACAAGGGCCTAGAGCAGAGAAGAGCTGAGCTGTTCCTACCGGGTAGGCTTACCTCTCAGCGTGCTCAGTTGGGGATAGGAATGTCCTCAACAGAAGGGGACAGGCAGGGTAGCGAGCAGCTGGAGTACGCAACATCCATCCAGCAAATGTGACCCCGAGTGTCCGGCCGGGGGACGTACCGGGACGTACCGCCTCTCCTCTCTCACGCGCCATCTCTGTTTTCTCAGAACCTTTCTACTTCCCCTCTGGCTGAGCCCCCACACTTCGTTGAACACATCAGGTCTACCTTACTGTTCTTAAAGAAGAACCCCTCTCCCATGAACACGCTGTTTCCTGGAAATCAAGCTCTCCTCTACAAAAAGAATAAAGACGGCCTATGGGAAAAGATTTCTTCTCCCAGAAGCTGCAAATAGGAATTACCAAAGAAAGCAACTTTTTGGCATGGCAAAGACTATCGATGGGGTTTGGAATCGGTAGGAATTTGCAATCCAGTAGTGTTAGGTCATCATTCTTACTCAGTCTTATACGTAATTTTCAAAATAAAATCTTATTTTGGCAAAGGCACGTGTTCACGTTGACTTTGTGCTTCCCTGCTATAAAGTCAACGGTCAGCGGAGAGGGCCGGAGGAGAAGCAGCGCGACAGGAAGCGCTGCCGCTGAGAAGCACGGGAAATGCAATCCAACTACTGAACAGCTTGCGCATTACACAGCTGCAGCCCCCACGTGTTCCCGAAGCTTCATCTCACCGCGCTGGGAGGCCAAGCTGTGCAGTCTACTAGTAAAATGCTCAAATTGTAGTGATTATGCACATTCTGTTTTTAGAAACGTTTTCTGTTTCTAAAAATGTTACTGTGCCTGATAAACAGTAAGGTTTCTAAACTGAGTTCACCCGTAACAATTCCAAGAACCTTTATTGAAACCAACATTCAAATAGTATCTCAAGGGGGAAATTTTGTTTCGGCAAAACTTAACAATTCCAAATATATAAAAACACTTAAAAATCTCATTAAAGGTGGTAATTTACCCTTCCCCATGTTATCTGTTAGACTTCATTGACCAAATAAACAGGGAAGACTGTTTAATCATCTGCACCAAAAAAAAAAGAAAATTGCGTCTTGACAAGTGGCAAATGTCAAAAATCACTTCAGATCAGAGTAATTAGAGGCTTAATGTGGTGTAACTAAGGCTTCCAACACAACAGTCCACAAACCAGTGTGAATTCCTACCCTCTCGGCCGCATCTTCAGCTACAGGAGGCGATGCCATGTTGGGGAAGAGACCGCAGGGTGACAAGCGTCCTCCGGGGCGCGAGCCGGGCGGAGGGGCTGCAGGCTCCTGACCTGAGTAGGGCCTCCAGGGAGCAGTGCGCACGCAGCACGTTAGTGTCAGCTCCGTGTCGGGGAGCCTCCGCCAGTCTTTCAGATGAACAGAAGTGAGCGGTGCAGGAGGGCACCGATTTAAAAGCTACCAGTATTTCAAAATATACAGATATATGGTCAAGAAGAGACTTTACAATTAATCTGAACAGATGAGTCCTCGGGTCTGTTTACAAATAGTATAAAAGGGAGGAAAGGTCCTGCTGCACATGGAGCGTGCACACGGACACAGACCTTCCTCAGCCTCCAGGAAAGCAGCAGTGGGGACAGCAGGCTGCCATGTCCTTCCTTAGGGTCCCAGGAGAAACCCACTCTTTCAAGCCAACCAGGGCTGTGTCTCCTGCGGCTCCGCTAAGACAGGCAAGGAACGCTGTCACCCGCACACTGCGGGAACCCCAAGTCCTGGCAATAAGTCTGTGCAACCTAATCTTTACATTTAGAGAGATGAGAGCAAGCGTTTCAAGTGGCGGGCACCTGAAATTCCCTGTTCTCTTCTGTGACTAGTGTTCTGTAGGGGAATGGTTGGTGCTGTACAGCTGGGCAGGGCGGAAGCAGCTGTTAGGCATACAATGAATGACTTCCTTCCAAGAAAGCCTGGCTTTCAGGCATATATTTGTGCAAAAGTCCAGGTTCTGCACAAACAACAGGAACTTTATCATGGGCACACGGGCCGGTGCACGCTTTCAGAGTAACATGGTCAGCGCAGCCTCACACCTCCACTCAACTCTTATCTCAAGCTCTCCAGCTCTTCTACCTGCAGGTGGTCATCTTCGGGGTGCTGGGCCTTGTTCTGGAGGGCTTCGGTGGGGCTGGCCTGAGGCGTGGGGGCCTCGGGGGGCTGCTCGGGACTGGGGGACTCTAGGCCACTGTGCTCCGACCCACCGGCCAGGTGTTCCATCTTCTCCAAGTCTTCAATGTGGCTGACGGAGCTGGTGTCACTCACGGTGTCGGAGCCTCGCACGGATCTCCTGAAGGGCTTGTGGCCTAGGAGAGACGGGATGGATGGCGCCGAGCCGCAGGGACGCGCTGCAGGCCTCTGCAGTCACAAGCTTTAATGCATAGATCCCCGGCCAGGCAGCTTGTAGACGAGCACTCGCAAGCCTGGCCACGGCCTCAGGCAGCCTGTCTCCAGACCCTAACCTGCCCCAGGGCGCCACTGAGGCACTACATCGGGATTAAATCTCAAGAAGAATGAGTGGCTGTTTGCAAGGCCAATGATGGCTAGGCTGCAGTGAAGAGAAACAGGACTTCAGGTGAAGAATCAGGAGGAGAAAGGCAGGAGCAGTGGGGGGGGGGGGGGGACTGTTCTGCGGGCTGCAGGATAATAGTCATGAACGAGGCCGGGGAGTCACATACCTGGAAGTCTGGGTTTGCCGCGAGCTCCCGAGGGGGTCGGGGGCGGCGTCACTCCCGTCCCCTGTACCTTGTAGACATACGTGTGTTCTGTGGACTCCAAGGAGCCTGATGGGGAAAGAGAGGCATGGGCACAGACTCCTGGCACAGGGTTGAGTGCCCTGGGAGATGCATTCAGCTTGCCCACCCACCAGTGGGGAGCTGGGCATTGCTGAGCCTGCCAGGAGCTGGACAGAGCTGCCCTGCATCCACCTCCTCAGCCAGGCTGGGGGGGGGGCCCGCAGGGGATGGGGCCCCGGGCTGACGGAGGGTGGCCTGGAGCAACGAGGAACACACGCCTCTGCTGGAGGCTGAGACCTGGCACACTGAAAACTCAAATGCAGCCATCATTCCCTGGGGAAGGAGTAAGGAAGGGACCTGAGGTTTGGGGACCGTTTCCCTCGTGGAACTTCTGCATCTTTTCCACATTCCAGCAACTGGAAATCGTCCCCTTGTTGGCTGTGCCCTCCCCAGCGCGGCACTTGGCCACGCAGAACACTCATGAGGACCTCAAGGAAGAGTCACACGGCCCCAAGCCCCAGATGGACACCATCTGGGGTTCCTTCCAGAGGACCCAGAGACAGAGGAGCTGTAAGGACAAGGGTGAAGGGAGTGAGGCCAGCACACTTTCAGCCCTACCTGCAGTTAGGTTAAAAGTTCTTCCCTTTTGTGAAGTTTGGACTGGAGAAAACCAGTTCAGCACGGATCCTACTACAGGGATCTGCCGCAGCACTCCCTGCAAGACAAGCGTTCGCTGTGGACCCCGCGCCGCGCAGGGCCCCTCCCGGCGGCTCATGCCCAGCGCCGCCTCACCTCCTCCAGAAGCCGCTCCTCGTTGGCCTTCTGCAGCTGAACCTGAGCTTCCTGAATTCCTTTCCGAACAACTTCTGTCATGTTTTCCAGAAGCTGTGGGAAGTAAGAAAGGTGTTATTTGTCCAAGCTTCTTGACTGTGGCCTAGAAAACTGTTAACAGCACTAGAGATGCTGTTCAAAGCGGTCAGTAAACAGGATTCTGTATTGAAATGCCAGGGTCAAGGGAAGGCGCGTAGAGGCCCGGGCAGCCGTACAGTGGCCTCACTGAGGGTAACAACGATCTTCTCCATGGTGAGCAAAGAGGCAGCAACGGCGGTCTAGTTTGAGGACTTCCGCCCCCGGGGGGACAGCTGTTCCTCAGCTTCCTTCTCTTCCCACCCACCCCACCGAGTCACGTGTGTCACCTCTCACACACACCTTTGGTTTGGAGATGTCCACGCTATCCTGCCAACAAGCAAGCGCATTTCCAGTAGGAAGCTGGTCCTCAGGACCCAGCCCCCCCCCCCCCCCCCCCCCCAAGGACCCAGCTCCTTTGAGGAAGAGCCCTGGACGCAGCACAGGCCCCTCAGTGACGTCACTGAGCGCACCAGGAATCAGGGACACTGCCAGGGAAAGGCTGAAAGGAGCAGACGCTTCTGAGGATAGCATCTGCCTTGCTAGCCGGCCAGGCAGAAATACTGACAGGCCTCACACACCCGTGAGTTTTCCTCAATCTCCCGGGCTGTGACGGCGATGGTTTCCACAAGCTCGGACACGTCTACGTCGTCGCTCGCCATCCCGATGTAAATGCAGCTCTTCATGCTTCTGTACTCGGGGCCTGCGGGAGGACACGGGTGAGCGTGGCCCCACGTCCTCCATCCCCAGGGCGACCACAGCACTTGGGGAGGGCGCGTGTGGCACGTGCAGCAGGGGGCGCGGGTGGCCGAGGAGAGCCACACTCTCCCCTGCATGTAAAGCCCCGGCTCTGGAGAGCAAGCGGCCCTTTCAGGGGTGCAAGTGGACTTGTAAGCGTAATTACCCATTTTAAATGTAAGGTCAGATTCCAATTCATTTAACTTTTTCAGGAGTCCAGCGTGGATTTTATCCCCCTCCGGATCTGACTTCAAACTGCTCTTATCATCATTCGCGTGTTCATACCTGAAACAGCATCAAGCATCAGTACTTCAATCTGGGAGATCAGGAGCTCAGGAAGCAAGGGCAAGGGAGCCCCTAGGGATGGTGTCTGGATGGAAAACTTTCAGGACTGTCTTGTGTGTGGCACCGTGTGCACACGCACACACCAGGGCTGCCTCACTGGGCCTGGCTCGGCTTGCCTGCCCCCCCCCCCCCCCCCCGGCCTCTAAATGGCCAGATGTCTACTGAATCCTGCACAGACGGCTCTACGACTCCAGCGTTCTGGACTGCTATGCACGCCATTACCTGACAACCCCTATCCCGGGCCAGTTGGGGTCATCAACATGGAGGAGGCCTGCGGTAGCCTCCACTTCCTGCTTGAACTCCTCCCGCAGCTGCAGCGTGCACGTCAGCACCGGCAGCTTGCTCTCGATGCAGGTGACCAGCTGGTCCACGTCCTCTCCTCGAGTTCCTAATGCTGTAAACCCACAAAGAATGATGAGGATGGCTTAGGGAGAGGCTGGGAACTGGGGCGCTCCACCCCACTGTGGAAGACCGAACCACAGTGGAGGCTGCTGTAGTTCTAATGGCCAATGAAATGCTCTGAGAAATCCGGTTCTTCTGACATGAAGAATCCTATCACAGGTTAAGAAGGAGCCCAGCATCTCTAAGACAGCGTGAGGAGTGTGGCGCTGGCTGGTGTTTGGAATAACCTCTGGGCTGAGGGTGCACCGCTGCTCTCCCCTGACACTGCCGCTCTGTGGTGTCTTTGCAGGACAAATGCCTGCATGTCCCAACTTGGATATGTTTGAGAAAAAAAAACAACCTTTCTAACAAGTGTTGAAAGACGCCTTAGAAAAAGAATAA